GAGACCAGCTATAAGTGGTATTTTGGGATTTTCTGTGTGTAAGAACTTAAATATGTAATTGTTTCCATCTTTCCTGCACAAATGCTTTTTACAAATTGCTTCACAAATTGATAAAACTTTGAATAATTTTCCCTGAAGAAATGTTGAACCCATGCAAGCTGTTAGAATTAGAGTGTATGTTGAAAGGTTTATTGTGACTACTTACTCTTCCACAACTGTACAGCTTATGTTTTTAACAAAGAAAAAAATCATGATTCCTTTTCTTATTTGTTTGTCTACAGATTAGTCAGGCAAGAAAATGTCTTAATATTTCAAAAGACAGCAACCTACAAACAAAATACTTATTTATCTACCATTTTACTAAAAGACACCTTTTTCTATTATTTGTGTAGAATATTAAGTGCAGTTCTTGTCTCCCAGTATTGTATAAAAGGGAGAGGAAGGGAATGAACTATTGTAATCCTTGAATTCTGCATTTAAAATCTTTTTGTGAGTCAGCACAGAATCATGTGTTTTCAGAATAAAACAGGGCCCTCGTCCTGTGTTACCATGTGGCTGTCAGTGCCCATGGGCAGCATTACATCAACCATACCTAACTTCATGAAGGTGAAACTCAGCCCCAGAGCCCCCGTGTTCTGTTAGCTCTAATACTAGTGCTAATATGTGCAACAAAGTAACTATGGGGAAGTCCGTGTCCACTAGGACAGCTTGAGTGTGGCTCTGTGCTGCTGGCTATGCTGCTGATTACATTTTCTCATGGAATCTGCTCAGTTGCCCTGGAGGCAGGTAGTGTTGCCACTTTATAGCTGGGTAAACCGAAATGTAGAGAATGGTCATTTGCACACTGTCGCATGTAGCTCATTGTTGATGAAAATGGAGTTTGGACCCGTGTGTTCATCCTCTTGTGTCCTGTGCTCCTAATGGGTCAGAGACCTAAACCTTTGACCTCTAGCTTTTTCTTTCTTCCTTTCTTCCTTTCTTCCTTCCTTCCTTCCTTCCTTCCTTCCTTCCTTCCTTCCTTCCTTCCTTCCTTCCTTCCTTCCTTCCTTCCTTTCTTTCTCTCTTTTAACTATATGGAAAGTTTCTATTTGGTATTGGTGTAGATGGGAATTTGCATTGCCTTTAGAACAGTCTCAGGTTGGAGTGAGGGACAGGGGCAGGAGCGATTAATGTTACCAGAATCACATACTGTAGACAAGTAGACGTGGAATGCTCTGAGCCAGCCGTCACCAACCGGTGGTCCGTGAGGTCCGAAAGGTTGGCAACCACTGCTCTGAGCTGTCCCTGGGAAGACAGTTTATTTCTGAGAATGTCCTTTCCCATAGAGTAGCGATGGTAAGTCAGCGCTGTGGGGGTTCCTGAAGTCTCACTGTGTTATTTTCTGCTTCCCTCTGTATTTTGGGGGCTGTGAAAAACTTGTTCATCGAAACTTCTCTCTTCCTCCTTTCGTAACCTCATCTCTTGATCAATCTGCTTCCGTTAAACCAAAGTGTTTTGTGTGGCTTCAAAGTCATAACTTGAGGGAAAATGCAGGTTGGAATAGAACATGCAGCTGTGGGGTAATAGCTAAAAACATTCCTTGGACTTTTCAAAAACTGAATGAAAATTGGTTGTTGAACTCAGCCATTTATTTGTTAAGAGGTACTGACCGAGTGCACAGTAAGCTGCCTGCCTTCTGTCATGGGGAAATGGTGGCAGGGGCAGCTTCCTCATTCTCAGAACTCTAGTCAGGCTTAAAAAATCACTTGTGAGGGATGTGAGCGTTCATCTAAAACCATAGCAAATTAAACAGTCTTTGTAGGTAGGTGCAGACTCGTCCACATACAGTCCTGGCCCTTTCTCTGCTCCACAGTAGACTCACTTATGTTAATTTGTGTCCTTTGCTGTTTTAAACGTGAATAAAACTTACTTTTAAAAATATCTTTTAAATTATGTGCCATCCTAACTGCAAGGCTTGCATGTGAAAGCTGATGTACCAGTGGAGCGGGTGGGCGGGCAGCCTGGCCCCTGACTGCCAGGGTGGCCTGCAGTTAGCAGGGACACTCTTTTTTTTAAATCTTTATTGTTGAAAGTATTACAGATGTCTCCCTTTTTCTCCCATTGACCTCCTGGTTCATAGGTTGATGCTCAACCACTGAGCCACACTGGCTGGGCTTTTTTTTTTTTTCAATAAACACATTCCATATTTTCCTGCATTCTTGGGGGGGGGGAGAGAAAAGCATATTAAACACCAAGTAATAATTTTTTTCTTTATTGATTAAGATATTAGATATGTGTTCTTAACCCCTCCCCCCCAATGTCCCTCCAATAATTTTTTTAAATATATTTTTTGGGGTGTGAAGAGAGCAGAGTGCCTGAAGAATGGCTCCTCTGTGTAGAACACATCCAACAGCAACGTGGGCTTATTCTTCACAGGCGGCAGGATGCTATGACTTTCCTGTGACATTACGCCCTATACATGAAAAAATATTTTTAATTGATTTCAGAGAGGAAGGAGAGAGAGATAGAAACATCAGTGATAAGAGAGAATCATTGATCTCCTGCCTCCTGCATGCCCCACACTGGGGATCAAGCCTGCAACCTGGGCATGTGCTCTGACGGAATCGAACTGTGACCTCCTGGTTCGTAGGTCAACACTCAACCACTGAGCCACGCCAGCCAGGCCCAAGTAATAATTTTGTTCTGCAGAAAATCATAGTTCTGAATTCGTACCAAGTCTGGGAATTGCCCTGGAGTGTGTGTGTGTGTGTGTGTGTGTGTGTGTGTGTGTGAGAATTGGGGGGAGGGGGGCACTTTTTAGGGGCAGGTTTGCCTCTTGGTAAAGATGATAAGAAGAATGTGTTGCTGTATGATCTTCTGCCATAAAACAGTTGTCCTTAAATTATAAGTAACCTTTTTCATGTGATTACCTTATTCTGTTTTGATGACCAAATGGGTCTTAATCACCTCCTGACTCTCCTCTGTTCTTTCAAGAAATCTTTAGAGTAAGTATACAACTCACTGTTTCAGGACTTTTAAAGACATTTTGAAAAATTTATTCATAAGCCTGAAGTTTTTTATTAGTATTATTATTAGTATTATTATTATTATTATTAAATAATGCTTTATAATATAATTGCTAGGCCACATTTTTTCTCAACCCCTTCTTTTTGGTAGATAAAATCTTGGTTTTAAGCAGCTTTTAAAATAGCGCCTTTGCTCTCAGGCTGTTGAGTCTGCTGTGACGTATGTGGGGTGGCAGCTGCCTCCCGAGGTCACAGCGTCTTATGTGATGCTGGTGGCTCAGCCTTACTGCTCAGACATGCCAGTGTCATCGTAGCAGGGAGCGCCTTAAAGACACTCCCAAACCATCATCTTCCATGTGCACTTTGTAATTGTCTAGAACAGAACAACTTTGCTGGCTACAGCACAGGTTACTGGTTTTGAAATGCAGACTTTAAAATTAGGAATGTATTTGATATATATTAGTTTGTATCATCATAGTATTCAATAAAATAAAAATTTTTTGAGGGAAAAGCAATGTTAAAAAGAAACAAGTTTTCACCACGGAAGCTGATGGGGCTTACCAGTAGCTGATTTTTTTCTGAGCTCTCAAATTCACACTGGCAGAATTTACCACTTTATCTTGCACACTTAAACTCAGTCGCCTACAGGCAGGGCCAAAGGTTAACCAGCCTCAGTGTTGTAAAACTCCTCAGGACATAACTTCTGGTTCTGAGAGAATTATCTCTGAGGCTCATTTAATGCTGGGCTATTTGCTGGTTAGCTCTCAGTCTTATCTAAGGTCCTGTCTCACTCTGAAATGCCTATACATACACATCATACACTCTGAAGCAATCTAGATTCTAATTTGGCAATGAGTACAGCATTGTTCAGTACCTTGAATAAACCATTTGTAAAGAATTTTACCAACTTCCTTTTAGAACTTTGCTGGGTAGTGTACGTTGATTACCACTGACTAGTCCATCAGCATTTTTCTGGGCTCACCGTTTTGGAGTTTGGCTCACATCTCTATCTTCTCCTTTAAGTTACCAACTTTTTAAAAATGCCTCCTGCCGCCCTAACCGGTTTGGCTCAGTGGATAGAGCATTGACCTGTGGACTGAAAGGTCCCAGGTTTGATTCCGGTCAAGGGCACGTACCTTGGTTGTGGGCACCTCCCCAGTGGGAGGTTTGCAGGAGGCAGCTGATCGATGTTTCTCTCTCATCGGTGTTTCTAACTCTCTATCCCTCTCCCTCTCTGTAAAAAATCAATAAAACATATTTTTAAAAAATGCCTCCTGCCCTTTGCTGTTTGTTAGAAATCTAGAATTCAAAGGACGGCCTTTGTTCTATACCTAGACCTGTCCTGCAACATACAATACTCTACAGATTACAAAGTCATGGTCTAGCCCAGTGGTCGACAAACTGTGGCTCGCGAGCCACATGCGGCTCTTTGGCCCCTTGAGTGTGGCCACGAAGTTTCAATCGCACTGTACGTGCGCGCCCGCATGTGGTATTTTGTGGAAGAGCCACACTCAAGGGGCCGCAATTTGCCAACCCCTGGCCTAGCCTATCTGTGGAACTAACAGGGAGCAGGATTGGAGAGAACACTCGTTGGGGATCTGAAAACATACCTGAGTCACTGCTGGAAACCTGGAGTAGTCAGGTCCCATTTCCGAGTCTGTTCACTCAGTGTTTGCTGTTTTCTAGAATCTTCACTCCCATACTGATCTGTTACTTTCCCCATCATCCTCCCTTCTGCTGTTCTGCTGAAGGTTTAATGCTAGATGCTTGGGAGTCTGAACTCTCATTTCCAGGGACAGTTCCTTTTTCTTTTTAACTCTCAGGGTTGACATAATGCTTGAAATTTCAAGAAGATTTTCTTGCATCCATGTACCTGATAATACTTCAAATAGCACCTTTTACAAACAAACCTAACGGCAACATAATTGCCTTGGTGGCTGCCCTTTAAAGAGTGAAAAGGACATAATTGTATGTGTATTTCTTATTTCTTTTTAGGTTTTGAATGAAGAATGTGATCAGAATTGGTACAAGGCAGAACTCAATGGGAAAGATGGCTTCATTCCCAAGAATTACATAGAAATGAAACCACATCCGTAAGTTGGCCCCTACTGTCTCCCAAGGGTCAGACCTGCTTGCTTGTTTCCAGTAATGTTTTTAAACTGAAATGCATGTTATACTTTTATTCAGCCTTCCCAGGGAATTAACAAAGCATATTGATTTTGCATATTCATGTTAATAATAGTATATAATGATAATATAACAGTCAATAATAAATAGTGTATGTTTCAAAAAAAAAATAGTGTATGTTTCAGATTAATAGTATTTGCTGGTGATCTTTCACTAATGAAACAATTGTTTCATTTAAAACAATAGTTTATATACTATTACATAATAATAGTATATATGTTTTTGATTATTAATAACTATCAGTGATCTTCAAGTAATAAAACAGTTTTTCAGGTCCATAATTCTTTTTCTAAGAAAGCCTTAGGGCCAGATGTTTCATAGTTCTGTATTTTTGTTTTTTAGTTTTAGAAAGGGTACTAATCACAGGGTTTTATATTGATATGTTTGATTTTCCTATGAGACCATATCTTAATAATCTTTGTATCCTCAGAGCACAATGCTTGGCCTATAATGGGTTCTCAATAAATGTTTATTGTACTCACTGCCCTTGCTCTCCACTTAATGTTTCCATTTCAGAGAAAGAAAAATGCTCTTACTTTAAGCTGCTGAGAGCAGTGAACTTTTTTCTTTTCATTTATTTTTTTCTAGAGCTCCTCCTGTTCATAATGATATGTGACACGGTGGGACCCTGGGAGCCCTAACAATCACTGTCCTCCCACCCTCACTGACCACCTCTCTCATTGGTCCCGCTCCTACCCCTAAAGCAGTCTTTTCGTGCTTAGTGTGTCAGGGGAACTGAGGCTTCCAGTGCTCAGACTAGACTGCCGCTGAGGCATGAAGTTCTTTCCATCTACTCGGTTTAACACAAGTGATAAGACTTTTAGATAACTTGATCCACTTTGAGTATCAGCCCATTTGTCCCTCTCCCCCGTTGTTACGCTCTAATGTGTACCAGCATTTCTCTTCCTTCAAGTACGAGAGCAAGATATTAACCACACCATATCTTTTTTTTTTTTTTTTAATATATTTTATTGAGTTTTTACAGAGAGGAAAGGAGAGAGATAGAGAGCTAGAAACATTGATGAGAGAGAAACATCGACCAGCTGCCTCCTGCACACTCCCCACTGGGGATGTGCCCGCAACCAAGGCACATGCCTTGACCGGAATCGAACCTGGGACCTTTCAGTCCGCAGGCCGATGCTCTATCCACTGAGCCAAACCGGTTTCGGCAACCACACCATATCTTACACAGAGCCCACATCATCTAACATCGTCTACATCATGTTACACAGAGCTCACCTCACCTGGCACAGAGCTTACAGTGTCATAGAATTAGAAGGGACCTTTAAGATTGTCTAGTTTATTCCTCTTTATCCTACAAATCAGGAACACTTCTAGTATTTTTATTTCAATGCTAGTAATTTATGAATATAGTTCTCATTATAAAAGACTCATAATATAGAAAACTCTAGAGCAGCCGTGGGCAAACTACGGCCCACGGGCCAGATCCGGCCCGTTTGAAATGAATAAAACTAAAAAAAAAAATGACCATACCCTTTTATGTAATGATGTTTACTTTGAATTTATATTAGTTCACACAAACACTCCATCCATGCTTTTGTTCCGGCCCTCCGGTCCAGTTTAAGAACCCATTGTGGCCCTCGAGTCAAAAAGTTTGCCCACCCCTGGTCTAGAGCAATGTATGAGTTTCTGCCCATATATATACCCTTTTCAGAGGTAACCACCACTTAATAATTAAATGTGGGCCAAATGCTACCTTAGGAACTGAATCTGTTCTAAAAGATTATTCACTTTCTATAAAATGAAACAAATGACGCAGGAGCTTCACCATAAAGCTATCTGTTGGTCAGTAACTCTTACAGTTCTTACTATGTGGCAGAGACTGCTAGGTGCTGGGAAGTTAGGTACAGTAGTTACATTATGGACGAATGCAATTTCCATGTCGTTAATATGAAGCTCTTTGAGAGGTCACACCCAGAAAGCCTGAGCCTGGACAGAAGGCGGGGTTCCCTGCAGTTGGGAATGGGAAGACACCTTTATCTACAGACATTTCTGTAATGAAATTGTGAGGCACTCAAATATACCTCTTTTACTTCAGAAGACAGGCACCTTATAATGGCTCAATAGGAGTTTCATTGAATGATTTACAAGGTGAAAACCAGTCTAATTTATAAACTTTTAATTCTAGTTTTTGTTTGGAATTTGTACTGTCTTATAACTTATATGAGTTGGGTCTCTCACCACGCCCCCACCACCACCACCACTACCAGTTTTTTGTCTTAAGATTCCTTGGAGAATTTGTCTTCATTTATACTCCTGGGAAGTATACTAAGCACTGCTTTGCATTCTTATAGCTACTTAACATCAGTGTTTGCTTTGGGGGCTGTGCAGGCTTTTCATGGACAGATGATGGAATGCACTGGGGCTAAGGGAGAAGCTGTTGGGTAGTGGTTACCGGGAGTGGGTGGGGCTCCTTGGATCGCAGTGCTCCCTCCCTCCCTCCCTCCATCCCTCCATCCATGGAAGCCAAGTAGCATGTGCAACCTGTTCATTCAGTCCTTCCTCAGAATGGAGCAGGGCTGGCTAACCTGTAAAAGGCAGATAATGAATATTGTGGGCTTTGTGGGCCACATGCAATCTCTGTCATGACACATACACCTCTTCTTTTGAATTTTTTAAAACAGCCTTTAAAAATTTTTTAAAAACAGTCTTAGATTATGAGCCATACAAAAACTGGGCAGATTTAGGCCAAGGGCCATGGTTTGCTGACACCAGCGCTAAATCCAATGATAACAAAATCAACTTAAGTTCCTTTTCATTTTCATATTTCCAGGCTGAAAGGGAATTCAACAGAACACCACACTGTAATTTTTGTGTTAAACTATTAAGAAAATATAAGAATCCTGGCTGGTGTGGCTCGGTTGGGTGTTGTCTCCTGCACCACAAGGTTGCCATTTGGATTCTCACTTAGGGCACATGCCCGGGTTTCGGGCTCAATCCTGGTAGGAGGCATATGGGAAGCAGCTGAACAGTGTTCCACTGTCATATTGATGTTTCTCTCACTCCCTCTCCTTTCCCCTCTAAAAATCAGTAAATATATTTTTAAAAAAGAAAAATAATAGGAAAGGCTACCTTTCTTAGAAAGTAATGGTCACTGACCTGATTGGTTGGCTAGCCTTTAGGGAGAGTCACTCTCACACCTGGTTTCTCACAATAAAGAACTTTGATTGAATAATTGATCAGGAAGCATCCAGCCCAGTCAGTTATGGTTCAGTGGCTGAGCGTTGACCTATGAACCAGGAGGTCACAATTCAATTCCCAATCAGGGCACATGCCCAGGTTGTGAGCTTGACCCCCAGTGGGGGGTGTGCAGGAGGCAGCCAATCAATGGTTCTCTCTCATCATTGATGAGATGTTTCTCTCTCTCTCCCTCTCCCTTCCTCTCTGAAATTAATTTTTTAAAAAGGAAGCATCCAGTACAGGTGCTCTTCACAGACTCTGGCTGAAAATCTACTCCACGGTCTAAGTGAGTTGTTAAATAAGACCATGGCATTGTACCTATGCTGTGGCTGGTCTTACAGGCATGTTTCATGTTACAGGGCTGCTCTGCGGCTGGATACCAGTAAGTACAGTTAGTGTCCATTTCATAGCTGTGGGAGAGCACAAAGTACCAGTCTCTTCTCCCCTCATCCCTCCCTTCCTCTTCTTCACCCCACCCCAAAACCTTTGGTTTCTGTTAGGAAGAGGGAAGTTTAAAATGGAGTATGACCTAATATAGCATTTGAGTTAACAAATTAAACACAGACTATAAAGTGATTGTTGGCATTAGTGTTGCAGGATGAGTTGTAGATACTGGGGGTGGATCCAACTATGAGCTTTCACATTAAATGCATGTGGGTGGGGGGCCTATGGGGTGCAGTAAAGAATTAAATTGCAAAAGAAGCGCCTCCTCCCATTAGCTTCTCCTTTGCTATTTGTATAATAGCAGAGATGGTATAGACCCATCTTTCTAAAAGTTTTTAAATTTTTGAACAGAGCCATGTGGTTACAAATAAATATCACCATTAAAAGAGGCTAATCAAATTTATAAACAGCATAAAATGCTATGGAAATGTAGGTTGATAGTATTTAAATGTTGTAACAGAGTAATAACATTCTTCATATAGTCTAATAGTCCTTATATTGTGGGACATCCTTGGCGGGGGTGAGGGGGAATGTGTGTGTGTGCACGCAGCACGTGCTTAGTAAAAATAGGAGCAGATACAAAATAAATATTTACTTAATAAAGTCTCCAACTAATTTTCTATGTTTCAATCTGTGTGCTTTTAATGGAGGTATGTTTACTTTGTAAAAATTCCAATTAGTAGTGTACTTTACTTCACTAAAGTTCTTGTTCTTTAATTGAAAATAAAATTGAGTTAATTTTAAACTGGGGGCAAGAAAACCCTGTAGCCATATTTGTCTGTCTATCTGTGCACCATAAGGGAAGGTCTAAAAACATACACATGTAACTGCCAACAGTTGAGGCCTCTGGGGAGTTTGAGCGAGGAGTCTTGCTTATTATTTTTACTGAATGCACATCTCGGGTATTTTAATTTATATTTATTACTTTTAAAAAGTAGGAAAGGAAAGAAAATGCCTGCTGCTGGGAAGGTCTTGGGGGTTTTAGGAGGAAAGAATGTGGCTGTTGAGTAACTTCACCCCACCCCAGGCAGATGCCTATGGTGCGAGTACATTATAAACTTGACAGTACCAGAGATTAAAATAGAAAACATTCAGATGGTCTCAATACTGTTAGCTCTCCTTTCATAACTGGAGCTCGTCCTGTTTTATTAATATGTGATTTTTCTTGTATAGCCTGACTTCCAGGCACTGGAGGACTTACCCTTGAATTATTCATAGAAGCAGGAAGATAGATTGTACCAGCTCCTAGCAGCTTGGCATTAGAGAAGCAAAATGAGAAAGACACATGTAGGGTAGGTAGATTTAGGAATGTTTAAAGGTTACTAATGGCAACTTCTGAATGTTAATTACCATGTAAGGAGTTCAATGAAGCAGACAGGTCTTTTTAAAAAATACATGTTTTTATTGATTTTTTTAAATTTTTATTTTCTTTTAGAAAGAGAGGAAAAGAGAGGGATAGAGAAACAGAAATGATGAGAGAGAAACATCATCAATAGGTTGCCTCCTGCACTCTCCTCACTAGGGATCGAGTCCGAAACCCAGGCATGTGCCCTGACCGGGAATTGAACCGTCAACCTCTTGGTTCCTGGGACAACATTCAACCACTAAGCCACACCGCAGGGCAGACAGGTCTGCATTAGCTCTAAGAAACATAGCTGCTTTTAAAAAAATAATCATAACAATATATTAAAGACAACTTTGAAAAGAGAACATTGTTTTCGCAGCTTATCCATCTTAATTAGTTTGGTTTTTATGTGAAATACTTAGGCAGCTGTGACTTTAAGCTTTTAAAGTGTTCTCCTCCTCTTCCTCCTGGTAAGTGACAGGCCAGTTGCTCACACAGTTTTCCATGAATTCACCCTCTTTCTTGTCGCCAAGGTGAATTAGCATTGAGAGCAAAAGAATCTAACTTTCTCCAAATGAAAAATCGACTTTTGCAACTAGCTGCCTATACACATGATAAATAAATTACGATGTTCCTGATGGCTCCTAAAAGGTAAACTTGGAGCAGGGACAGCAGAGACTGGCTTTGAGCGGAAGGCCAACCCTAGTTACTAGTGGAGGCTGCCCTCTCACAGCCTGAACCTCTTCCCTTCGGGCTGTTACAAGAAGTAACCCTGTCTCCAGCCTCTGGGCCTTCCCGCTTTCCTGCCCCATTTCCCACCCTAGCAAAGCTGCAGCCTTATCAGATGGCAGCAAGAAGGAGCCTGTTCCCCTCTGCTTCAGTCGGTACCTGGGATGTGGACTTGCAATGAGTCAGTTGGGAGCCCAGGGGGCTTTGGCCCCGGAGGCCCATTTGTAAGTGTCTACCTTTACAGGAAGAGTGCCTTCTGGGTCACTTTCTGGAGAGTGGGGTAGGGGAAGGCGTTTGAAGGGAGATAGTCCATCTCTCAAAGGAGGGCCTGACGGAGTGGCGTGATTGGGCATGTTGAGACTGAAGGGTAAAGAGGGAGGCCCTACCCCTGTCAAGGAGTGTTGTTACATTTCGGAGGCTGCATATCCCACTTCTTTCTGGGGAAGCAGATGTTGACCGGCTTGCCTTCCTTCCTTAGGTGGTTTTTTGGCAAAATCCCCAGAGCCAAGGCAGAAGAAATGCTTAGCAAACAGCGGCATGATGGGGCCTTCCTTATCCGAGAGAGTGAGAGTGCCCCTGGGGATTTCTCCCTCTCTGTCAAGTAAGTATTTCCTGTGTTGGTTGCCGGGATCCTTGTCTCCCGATGACCTGAGTTGGGAAGCCATAGGCCAGGTGTCTGATGACACACACCAAAGGTTGCAAACTGGTAGTATCTTACAAATCAGGAGATTTTACATTAAAATACTGCTTTCTGGCCCCTCTTAAGAATGTGTTCTAGCAGCACTGGGTTTTGATTCCCCATGGAAGCAGTCTAGTAGCTGAACAGCAGCAGCACTTTGGACAGCACGTGCTTGCCAGTTTTCCCTAATCCCCACCACTCCCTAGTGTCTCCTTACACACAGCTCTCCTCACTCCTCACCCTGTCCTCTGGGATCCTGCAGCTCTCTCTAACAGCTGCCTTTTTGAGCCCCCACCAGGCATCTAGCTTCAATCTACCAGCAACAGCCTAGGCCTGTCACATTAATTTAAAAGGTCACCACAGGGGTTTGGGGTGTTGTTGGTTGGTTTTATTGGTGTGTTTTGGTTTTTTTTTTGCGTTTCCCTGTGGTAAATTTAAATGTGGGAAGGAGTTGGTGAACAGAGACTAGAGAAGGCAGAAAGTTGTATCACCCTGAAGTCACAGAGAATATAAATTGGAACTTAGAAGATTCTAAGCAAATCAGCCCCCACTTGTGACATAAGAATATTTCATCAAATTGTCATTTCCATATGCATTTGATTCAGTCCTTTTCTAAAAGTTAATAATATAGAATCATAGGAACCCCGCCCCTAAGAATCTTACAAACCAGTTCATTTATATGATAAAGCAGTGATTCGTTTTACTTTTTATTTTGTGTTAATCCTCACCTGAGAATATTTTTTCTATTGATTTTTAGAGAGAGTGGAAGGGAGGGGAAGAGACACACAGAGAGAAACATCCATGTGAGAGTGCTACATGGATTAGTTGCCTCCCACACTCGTCCCAACCAGGGGCTGGGGATCGAGCCTAAAACCGAGGTACATGCCCTTGACCAGGATCGAACCCGGGACCCTTCAGTCTGCAGGCCGATGCTCTGTCCACTGAGCCAAACTGGCTAAGGTGTAAAGATTTTTTTTCTGTTTCAAAAATTAATTGAATATCTTGTTTCATTTTAAGACCAAATATATAGTTAAAGTATAGACTTTTTAAATATAAATTTAAATTTAGAATTTTTTTTTTCTCAGTGAAGATATGGGAGGTGATTTCAGGTGGCGTTTACAGTACCTTACAGATATGTTTCCAGCGTAGTTTTTAGTCTCAACATGAAAAAGTCAAACTGGATTTAATAATAAGTTTTTCTCTTCTAACAATGGCTTTTTTTAGTAGACTTTATTTTTTAAAGCTGTTTTAGGCTCACAGCAGAGGTGAGTGGAAGGTACAGAGATTTCCCCTTCACCCCCACACTCCCCCATGCTTTTGGTGCTTGACTAAACATGCAAATGAGGGTCTGGCGAAGAGCACCTCAGATGCGAGTGTCAGTGTGCTTCTTCTTAATTTGTTTTTCATCATCTGTTTTCCTTACATTTTATCCTGACCCGATTGTAAACGAAACAGCATCGGACGAGGAGTGTGAGCAGCCAGTAAACTCCCTGGGCTTCCCCATGGCCGGGAGTGCTCAGCTGGGGCCTTGTCTGGTTGCCACTGATCACAGCACACGGCAGGAGGCTCCCACACCCCTCCCTCTTCTCAGATAAAAGGTTGAAAGAGTCATGTATTTATTGTTTTAGAAATAAGATTTGAAACCAATGTCGTTAACCATCTTGATCAACGCAAACACCTTTCCAAAGGAGGTGCAAGAATCCCGTTCTCCGAGGCGTTCTTTAGTTTCAGGATGTTTGAGTCTGTGGTGGGAAGCACTGCGGTCCTTTCAGAACCGAGCTCGCTGCACGTGGATGGACTCTGTGGGGCCAGAAGTCTCCTTGAATACGTCCTTCCTCATAAAGCTTTCTCCCAGTCCTTCTCTTTTCTCGCTTGAAATAGCAGAACTGCAGGCCTTTCGTCATGACATCGATGAGATGTGGTTGAAATTTAACTCGTGCTTAGACAGTCCGCCCATGGTAAAATCGGGTTGTTTCAAGTCGTCCTCTAAAGTACTGTTCCTAACACTTTGCATCTCCTCAGTGGCTTCCTGGGAGCTCGGTGCTGCCACCTTCTGGGTTGTTCAGTTTCTTTAGCTTTAAGACTGTCGGTCCAGAAGAAAGACTAGTTTCATTCATTTAACAAACCTCCTTAGATGCCTTTTGAGGGCTGGGCAGTGAGTGGGACAGGCAGAGCCTTTGTGGAGCTGCTGTGCTGGCCTCGTAGTGCTGTGATGGTGGGCCATCCCGCTCAGTCAGCTCTGCGTGGGCCCGTGTGGAAGGGAGCACTTACCTTGACCAGGTGATAGAGGAGCCTTTTCGGGGGCCAGGAGGGCCGCCTGGACCTCTTGTTGTCCCAGTAGATTATTTTGTTCTGAGACCTTTTCCCCATGCGTAGAACTAAAATCCCTGAATAGAAAACATGACTTGCCCAGGTGGTGTGGTTCAGTGGTTGAGCATCAACCCAGGAACCAAGGGGTTGCCAATTCGATTCCCAGTCAGGGCACATGCCCAGAATGAGGGCTCAATCCTCAGTGGGGGCCATGCAGGAGCAGCCAATGGATGACTTCCTCTCTCATTGATGTTTCTCTCTATCCCTCTCCCTTCCTCTCTCTCTCTCAAAAAAAAAAAAAAAATCAATGAAAAAAATATTATTAAAAACAAACAAAACACATGACTTTACCCAGGTACAGAGAACTATTGAACGTATGTCCAGTTTCTCCTCTGCATACCTCATTCCCTTTTCCACCTTTTATAAAAGTCTTTAAAAATCACATAAGATTTTATTTATTTAAATCACCCAAGATTTTAATTTTTCTTAATATTGTTATTATTCTTTTTTGCACTTGGAAATGTAATTAAATCACACTCCTTGCCTTAAATAGGCTGTTTCTTTCATTTGGTACCATGTGGGGCATGCCATCCCTTAGGACTTTTATTTATAAATGTCTTCAGAATTAGACTGGTGGACAGGGTTTCCTGCCTGGCAAGGGTGCTTCATGGTGTCACTGGGAGTCATCAGTCCTAATGGAGGGGCCTCGGGAACCCTGTGAGCATCCTAACCCTCCAGGCAGGAGTCACGCTGTGTGGCAGCCCTGGGCCGTGAGGAGTGTGGCCTCCTTGATGGGCAGGTGGCCTGGGCTTAACCAAGGCTGAGCCCCCTAACCTGGTCTCCTATCTATTCCCTGCCTCCCCCCAGGTTTGGAAATGACGTGCAGCACTTTAAGGTGCTCCGAGATGGAGCTGGAAAGTATTTCCTCTGGGTGGTGAAGTTCAATTCTTTAAATGAGCTGGTAGATTATCACAGATCTACATCCGTCTCCAGAAACCAGCAGATATTCCTCCGGGACATAGAACAGGTGCCACAGGTAAGCCTCAGAGAGAGAGGTGGGTCATCCTTAGCAATGAAAACAGCTCCTCAGGCAAGCAGGTGCCTCTTCAAAGGATTGCTTCTGGGGCTTCCACACTCAGTGATCAAAGTGTTACCCTTAATTCATGCCAAAGATTTGAATCTGAAGTAAGTAAAATAAAATAGGTTTGCCTTCTCCAGAGGCGGCTCCTCCGGGCACTGCGTTGCCCGTTGCCCACCTGCAGCCCTAGGAAGGAGGGTCTGTAACACACTCTCCAGTACCCTTTCCCTGGAAGCATATTGTGCAGAGAGTCCTACCTGGGAGGGAGGGAGGCTCACTCTCCCTTCTCTATTCCAAGTCCTGAAACCCTACCATGTGCCCGCTGAGCACACCTCGTTCAGTCAAGCTCTGGACTTTCTGACCCTATAAAACTGTCAGGATTTTACAAGTGCTACAGTGGTAGGGACTGAAGCATTTTCCAATCCTGGGGTATTAAACCAAACCTGATGGCCATTTCCAAAGTTCTTTCCCCTTGAAGCAGCCCTTGCCACTCTCTGCTTAATAATACGGCACAACTGGCCACCAAAGCGAGACCTGCCCTAATAATTTCTGAGCATTGGTGAAAAGTCACACTGTCCCATGTAAACTTAGAACATGTACAAATAAAGGGGGTGGGGAGGGGTTGGGGATTTACTGCGGGAAATGTAGAAAAGTTGGCACTCCTCTGTAGGCCCCCCATAACCAGTCCCACTCAGGACTGGCCACGCTCAGGACGCAATGTGTGTGTTTCTCCCTGCCCCTCCTCTGCAGCAGCCGACGTACGTCCAAGCCCTCTTTGACTTTGATCCCCAGGAGGATGGAGAGCTGGGGTTCCGTCGGGGAGACTTTATCCACGTCATGGATAACTCAGACCCCAACTGGTGGAAAGGGGCTTGCCACGGGCAGACCGGCATGTTTCCCCGCAATTACGTCACCCCCGTGAACCGGAACGTCTAAGAATCAAGAAGAGATTATTTAAAGAAAGTGAAAAATTTAAACACATACAAATGAATTAAATCCATGAGCTGCCTCTGACAGCAGCCTGAGCAGGAGCTCCGAACACCTGGCGGGGTCACCTGGTGGCCCTCTCACTTTGGTTGGAACTTTGGGGGTGGGAGGGGAGTTGGATATAACAATGCCAAAACTTACCTATGAATTAAGAAAGAGTTTTTATTACAAGTTTTCACTGCTGCCCCCAGTTCTCCTCCTGTGTCCTTTTTCATCTTTTTTCTCTTCTGTCCATCAGTGCATGACGTTTAATGCCACATATAGTCCTAGCTGATGCCATAATAAAGGAAAAGAAACCAAGTGGGCTGGTATCTTCTCTATGCAAAATGTCTGCTTTAGTCAGAATGACTGAAAGGACAGCCACTGCCGGGTTTCCATAGCGACGCGGGGGGTGGGGGAGTGGCGGCTTACTCTGTGCCCGAGGGGGCAGGACGGGACTCTGCCCTCCAGCCCCTACCATGTATTTTGTCAGAGTTGGACATGGAGGGGCAAAAGGAAGGCGGGTTGCCCCCATACCTTCCTGAGAAAGTTAAACTGCAAGCCTGTCTCTTTCCGGCATTGCTTTCCCTCCCGAATGGCATCACTGAGCATGTTGTTTTCATAGTGCCTTTTTCCTTACTTCAAGGGTTGCTTCTGAGTGATGTTTTCTGTTTGTTTGGTTTACAATAAGTTAAAGACAGGCCAGAGCTTTTCAGCCCGTGTGTCGCCTAGTCTGTGTAAATGCCTTTCCCTCAGTGGGGGGAGCACAGGTGGAGAAGAGCAGGTGCAGGCAGAAGTGGAGGGTGTGGCCTGCTGCCTGTCCCGAGCCAGGAGTTGCTCAGGTTCGGCTTTAATACTTGTGAGCCCCGGGAGGTGACAGGAGTGGAAGCCAGTGTCTGGTCGCTGCCCAGGGAGCAGTGTGGCAGCTGCCGGGGCAGGAGGACAGGCTGCAGCTCTGCCCACACTGGACTGGGTGTGGCTGAAAGGGGGTCAGCGTCCTTGACTTTGCCATCTCAGGTGTTGTCTGCCCCCCTCCTTAATCCCCAGAGACCCCTGACTCAAACCCTGGAGCCAGCAAGTTTCAAACACAGGAAAGCCGGAGGAATTTAGACTGTCGCTCTCCCTCGGTCAGGATGCGCCGTGTTCCTACATCCAGGATGCAGTGGAAAGTGAGCTTCACTTCATCTTTCTTGCTCTGCAAACCAGGGGTACTGTTCATGCCTTTTCTCTCTCGTGTCCCCACCCAACCTGCCCAGGTGAGCCTTAGGGCAGCGTTCACGAAGCAGCTGGGTGGTTTTCCTGTCTCCATTCACAGCGGGCTGTGTGTGTAGCTGCTCCACCCCAGCCCCCCAGAACTCAGTGTCTCCAAGAAGCAGGGAGAGCAGGAAGGGAAGACTGGAAATGTAGGCAGGCCGAGTCCACGGAAGAGCTCTCTGTCCGCCTCCTGTGCCAGCTGCTTGCCCCTCGGAGCCATGTGCCTGTGAACTTTCTCCACCCAGTCCCTCCCCACAGCACAGCCGGCCCGGAATTGGTGGCTGGTGACAGCCTTGGGTTCTGAAGCGGTCGTCGGAGTCTCCTTGGCCTCTGGTCATGGAGCTGGACTCAGAGGCCCAGGAGGTGCTGCTTCTCTGGACAGAATTCGGCCTCTCCTCGCTCCCTCCCTGATGGTAAAGGAATCTGGCATTCTGCACCTGGACCACGTGATTGTTTTATTTTGGAATTGGTGTATATCATGGAGCCTTGCTGAACTAAGTTTTGTGTGTATATATTTAAAAAAAAATCAGTGTTTAAATAAAAAGACCTATGTACTTAATCCTTTAACTCTGCGAATAAAACTTGGTAGTTAGTGATTAACTGTGAATAATAAACCTACAATGACTTCTTCACTCTGTATCTTTTTTTGCCTTCGCCTTAAGATAAAAACCTAAAAACTGTCAGGGAGTCGGGACTTGGGTCCTTATTTCTGACTCACCAGCCCCTTAGGGGGGTGGGGGGAGGCCAGGATCCCTGGGCCCCTGGAGGAGCGATGCCCACCTGGGCTCTTGGAACACTGGGGGAGCTTGTCCGCAATCAGATGTCCAGGCCCCGCCCTCACACACTCTAGATTGGGGTGGAGGGCACAACAGGTGTTCTTGTCGGTTCTGATGGAGACCGTAGACCACACTTCGGGAACTGTGGGGACGAAGAGCACAGCTGACTTGGTTCTTGTCCCTTCACCCACCTCCTCTCCTTCCTACCCCCTCCCCACTTCGTGAAGGCCAGGACAGAATGGTCTGTGCAGAAAGCAGTCTTGTTGTTTGTTTGTTTGTTTTCAGAGAGAGGGGGGGAGGGACAGAGAGAGAGAAACATCAATGATGAATCGTTGATTGGCTGCCTCCCCCAAACCAGGCATGGGCCCTAACCGGGAATCAAACCATGACCTCCTGGCTCGAAGGTGGACGCTCAATCATTGAGCCACACCAGGCAAGCTGTGCCAAAGCACTCGTGATGTGCCAAGTAGCTAAAACATACTTGTCTGTTTTTAGGGCGAGCCTCGGCCCATTCACCCACACAGCACTGGCTACAGAAGACCAACAAATAAGATTTGTTTAGAGAGTGAACGGAAAAGAAACGAAACCCAAGGAATTTCCACTTGTATTCTTGGTCTGGTTCCTAAATAGAACCCAGCACCCGACCTCAGCTGTGGCTGCCCAGCTCAGACGGCGTTTTCAGTTCCTTCTCGGGGACCGTGCGTGAGGGGGACTCACCCAGCACTGGCCTGCGGGGAGCCGCTGGTCGCACGGTCCACCTAGGCCCCTCTGCTTCGAAGCTGAGCAGAAGTCTCCAAAATGGGGCTATTGACGTGAAAACTCAAGGCAGCCACTGCCAGTCTCCTTGAGGCTCTGCGCTGTTCGACCAATGGCCTCAGAATTTCATGGGGAAATGGCTGCTTTTGTGCAGTCTGTCTGGTTACAGGCTTCTTGGTGATGGCATCCTCCTCCGACCGTGGATGTGTGATTCCTGGAGAGGCATCTGGGTGGGAGCGTTTGGGAAGACTCGCCGCCTCTGGTGACTAAAAGCTACAGGTGGGTGAGTAGCTACAAGGCCTGCCCTTGCTCTCTCTGCAGAGTGGCCCTGCCGCAGCTGGAGCTTGGTCGCCCTCCTGGCGCCCCTCAGACTTGGCGGCCTAGGAGTCTGTGACAGAGGCTCGTCTTCCAGCGTGACGGTGGCCCTGGCTCCGACCGGGTGCCCCAGGCGGTCTCACGGCGCCTCTCCTCTCCTGCCCCGTTGACCTGCTTACGGTAGGTGGTCTTCCAGTCAGAACGTTTTACTTCCCCAGAGTGCCCGGGTAACCAGGAAAAATGAAAGTGGAGTTGTATTTGGGCACCTTGGATGGAAATACTTCTAACTCCTAGACGCTGTGGTTACGTGCAGTGCAGATGCCCCACACCTGAGCCCTTTTACACTGAAGAACAAGAGAGGATGGACACGCTCAGAGTCGGCCTCAGTTGGGGGCTTAAATGCGGCTCCAGGGGTGACCGGCTCCTCGCTCCAGCCAGAGCCCTGAGGCAGATGAGTGACGTGCTCTCCACCCAATGGCCCGAGTCAAAACCCTAAAGGACCACCTCCCCGCTGTCAGGAAGTAAGTGCCATCTGTGTACCAGCAGCACTGACTCGTGAACAGTAAATGGTGGTGGTGACCCCACTCGCTACTCAGAGCACTCCAAGCACCCCTCCCAAAGCTGACGGCGTTGGCTTAAAAGGCACACAGTATCCAGGCCAGAGAGAGACTCCTGGGACCGTCTTTCAAGACTTGGTTCTGGCCCAGCCAGGAAGCAACACTGGCCTCGGGTCTCCAAGGACAGTCTTACTGGTTAATACAGGCGGACCTGGGAGGTGTGGACTTGGGCCCAGCCCACACAGTCAAGCCAGGCACAGGCTTTTTGCTGGTGGAGGGTCTGTGAAGCTTGGCAAAGCGCAGCGTAGCGAGGCAAGGGGTGCCTGGCCCCGTGCCCGGGTTTCGAAGGCAGTCACCCCAGGTGGCCTCTGGGTCTGAACAGCCTCCCACAGGGCCTGCCTCCCTCCCGGACCGATGTGGCATGAGTGCCGAGCCAGGCCAAGTGCCCTCAGGTCTGAAGCCAAAGGGTGAAGGGCTGACCCCTTCCCTTACTCCTCCCCTAACCCCTTCCTGTGCCGGGGAGTCAAAGGGTACGGCGCCCCCTTTTCCGTTTAGCCCACGCCAGGCTTCTGTACGCGGTGCCCGTGCTTTCTCCGGCGGTGACGGGTGTGTTGTGTGCGAGCTGATGGGAGCGAGAATTCCAGACAAGCAGTGTGGTTGGCAGTCGGCAGGGGGAGCGTGAAGCAGATGGGACTCGAACCAGGTCTCGGGGGAGATTGGTTTGAATAGAACACGGAGACCCAGCCCACGCGGCAGGCGGCACAGTGTTGGCAGAGGGGTGTGGTGGGAGGAGCACGGTGTCCCCTGCAATGAGGAAGAGTCCAGGTGGGTTGGTGGGGCTCGGAGCCCAGGCCGAGCAGTGCCCACGCCCCCTGCCGACGCAGAGGGTTCCACAGGCCCGGGCGGTGAGCCGCAGGGTGAAAGCTGACTTAGGGGTGCACAGGAGAGACCGGGGGGGGGGGGGGGGCATGGGGGAGGTGCGAGGTGCTCGCTCAGGGGAGCGAGGAGCTGTGCCAACCTCCTGTGGAATTCGCGTCATACGCGCCACTTCTAGGCCTGGCTGGGTGCAGGAGAGCAGGGAGCCACCAGCTCATCGCGGGTGAGCTCTTAGTCACAGCACCACCCCGCCCTGACGTCCCGGGGCCACACCGGAAACCAGGCAGCAAGAGAGGCCCTGAGAGGCCCAGCTGAAACGTTAGTTTGGGGGAAGGAAATGGAATTGCTCATCGTGATCGAAAATGCGCGGAAGAGGCACGAGGCCAACGGTCTGGTAGCCGAGGTGGCGGCTCCTGGAGCCCGGCCCCGCTGCCCTTACTATTTTGACCTCGTGTCCTTGTTCAGTCACTGGGCAGGTGCTTGTTGAGAAGGTCACATGCTTCGTTCAGGCCTCTGCTCAGATACGAGTCCCCACTCAGAGAAGCCCTGCCTACATGTGATCAGTCGTCGCCTGGCCTCCAGCACTGCCTTTCTGCACCGCCTGCCTCGCCGCCTCACTGGGGGCGCACATTCTGCCCACCTTCCCCACCAGACTGTAAGCTCCTGGGGGCAGGAACTCGCTCAGGGTTGCATCCCTCGCAGCTGGAAGAGCGCCTGGGACATCCGGGTGCTTATCCATCACCCGAGGTAAGAAAAGTCTGTCCCAGGCGCTGCTACACATGAGGCCCATGGTGCCGGCAGCCCAGCCTGGCCGTCTGCTGGGGAGGCAGCCAGATAATGCCTCGGTGGGAGGACTGGCACAATGAAGAGGAGTGTGGGAGTCTCGAGGTTGGGGAAGACCAGACAGTTATGCATAAACAGAGCTAACCACTGAACAGGATGGTCACTCTGTGGAGAGGGAGGGGCGCATGCAGGGCAGGAGGCCTTGGGCAGGAGGCGCTGCAAGTTCCAGAAAGACCTGCATGTAGAGAGGGGGAGAGAGAGAGATCGGGGTCCAAGGAGGAGCTGGCTCAGGCAGGGGCAGAAGCTGACGAAGCGGGGCCCTGTACGCCTCAGGAAGGAGCTGGAAGTGGGAAGCCCTGGGGGCTTGGGGTTTGGGGCCATTTTAAGGATGGCTTTATTGAGATACAATTCACTTGTCACCAAGTCACCCCTTTAAAGTATACCATTCGATGGTGTTTAGCACTAGTCACGGTTATGCAATCAATTTTGGAACATTTATTTCAGAGAGAAGAAGGAAGAGGGAGAGAGAAAGAAACATCAGTGATGAGAAAGAATAATTGATCGGCTGCCTCCTGCACGCCCCCTACTGGGGACCAAGCCCAAAACCCGGGCATGTGCCCTGACTGGAATGGAAATGTGACCCCCTGGGTCATGGATTGGCGCTCAACCACTGAGCCACACCAGCTGCGCAATTTTGGAACATTTTCGTGATCTCCAAAAACAAAAACACAGGCTCAGTCACTTCCCACTTCCCCCAACCACCACCGGCCCCAGAACCACCAGTCTACTTCCTGTCTCTATGGATTTGCCTGATCTGAACATTTCATATCAATGGAATCATGCAATATGTGGCCCATAAGCTACGGCCCCAGGCGAGACCTCACACTCCACTCTCCGTGAGGGGAGGGGAGGAATGTGGGGTCCAGCCTGAGGCCCTGAGGATGGGGTGAGAGAAGAAGAGGGAGCAGCAGAGGAGACTCCGGAGAGGCCGGCGAGGCAAACCAGGGCCAGCCGGGGCCGGGGCCGGTGTGTCCAGGACGCTGCTGCAGGGACTTGCCTCTCTGGCCGTTCTCGTCCAGACCCCTCGTCCTCCACCCTGTTGCTGCCTCCTGCCAATCCTGATCGTCCCCAAACTGCCCTGTCACCCTCCCTCTTCCGCTGAGAAACCTTGCCAAGCGCCAGGTTGTCTAGAGGGCAAAGGGCAGACTCCTGACCCTCAGGATTGGTGACAGGGGAAAGAGCTCGAGACGGGAGTCATGGGACCCAGGGCCTCCTTCCAGGCTGCGTGACCTTGGGCAGGGCCCTTCACTTCTGCTCGCTTTGCTCGGCTGTGGAAAACAAGCCGATGTCCCCGCGTTGGCTGAGGAGCAGACGTGATTGTGTGCTGTGAAGTGCAGTGGGACTGGGCCCGGTTCTGACCTTGGCAGGCCAGGCGCTCCGAGCCTGAGCCACGTCTCGAACTCCTTGGCCCCCGGAGTCCCTCCTGGTGTCTCTGGCGTTTGCCATTCTGATCTGAGGCCAAGGTCTCGCTTCCCCTCTGCTTGTCTGCTGATCCCCACCCTGACATGAGACTGATTCTACAAGCCCACATCCTCCGAGAAACCTTTCCTGACCAGTCCTCAGACTCAAAACCCCAAACAGCTGATCATGTTAAATGTATGAGCCACCTCCAGAAGAGCCGACATCTTTACGATGTTGAGTCTTCCTATCCAAGAAAGGACACAGCTGTCTTTTCCGTTTCAGTTCCTTTGGGAATGCTTCAAAGTTTTCCTCCAATATATAAATTGGGGTGGGGGAGGGGCCACGGCAAAGATCAGATTCCTAGCTCTGGACCCCACTTGTTGTATAACCCGTTTCCTCATCATTATGATGTGATACAAGGTCCATCTGCCTCTGAGGGTTTGGAGGAGAAGTGACTAATACATTAAAATATCAAGCACAGCCCTAGCTGGTTTGGCTCAGTGGATAGAGTGCTGGCCTGTGGACTGAAGGGTCCTGAGTTCGATTCCAGTAAAGGGCACATGCCCGGATTTCGGGCTTGATCCCCAGTGGGGGGCCTGCAGGAGGCAGCTGATCAATGATTCTCTCTCAGCATTGATGTTTCTATCTCTCTCTCCCTCTCTGAAATCAATAAAATACATATTTTTTAAAGTAATCAAGCACAGCCCTGGCCGGTTTGGCTCAGTGGATAGATAGAGCGTCAGCCTGCGGACTGAAAGGTCCTGGGTTCGATTCCGGTCAAGGGCATGTACCTTGGTTGTGGGCACATCTCCGGTGAGAGGTGTGCAGGAGGCAGCTGATCAATGTTTCTCTCTCATTGATGTTTCTAACTCTCTATCCCTCTCCCTTCCTCTCTGTGAAGAATCAATAAAATATATTTTAAAAAAATATATCAAGCCCTAGCCGGTTTGGCTCAGTGGATAGAGTGTCGGCCTGCGGATTGAAGGGTCCCGGGTTCGATTCCGGCCAAGGGCACATGCCGGGTTGCGGGCTCGATCCCCAGTCGGGGGCATGCAGGAGGCAGCCGGTCAATGGTTCTCTCTCATCATTGATGTTTCTATCTCTCTCTCCCTCTTCCTGCCTCTCTGAAATCAATAAATATATTAAGTGTATATATATATATATATATATATATATATATTAAGCACAATGCAGGAAGTATGGTACTTACTCAATTCATGTTTCTCTTCGTTGGTCCTTCCATAGCAGATAGCCTGGCTGCCACCTTCTCCTCTCCTCTTCTTCCTCTTCTCTTGGTCGGTAGTAGTGGGATGCCCACCTTTTAGCCTCTCTGTGGCTTCCCGGACCACTTGTCTCAGCCACTCTAGCATTTAGGTGTCTCAGCCTCTCTAGCACTTAGGTGCCTCAGCCTCTCTAGCATTTAGGTGTCTCAGCCTCTCTAGCACTTAGGTGTCTCAGCCTCTCTAGCATTTAGGTGTCTCAGCCTCTCTAGCACTTAGGTGTCTCAGCCTCTCTAGCACTTAGGTGTGGCCATGTGACCAGGTTCTGGCCAAGAAGATCCACGCAAGTCTCATGGGGCAGCTCCAAGTCCCTCCCCCAAACTCCTTTCTCCTTCAATCCTTCCTCCACCCTGTTGCTGGAATTCCAGCTGCCGGTTTGGGTCAGACAGTGAGGACCACGCCCTGGGGTGGTGGCCTGGTGAACTGCAGGGAGCCAGAGGCCCTGGGAAGTTAGTGGAGACGGCTTCCTCTGGGCTTTGATGGATTCCAGCCACTGTTCTCGTGGGGCTCTGTCACTTTCCTGCAGCCGAGTCTGATCCTGACACCCCACTGTTCACGCCTGTCTACCGAGCGGCCCATCCCCACATTCCCTGGCGTCTCTTTTTCTCCAGAATTCAAGGGGCCTCCGAAGCAGGTGCCTCTCCAAAAGGTGAGCGAAGACATCCAGAGATGCCCCCACGGCTTTCTCTCAACTCCCCTGTGCCTAGAACTCTCCTCCCCACCCATGCTCCCTGCCTGTACATTCCTGCAGGGGGTGGAGGCGGGTGTGGGAGAGGGACATCAGCTCACTCTGAGCCAGAGCGGGGTACCGATTCTTTCCGCCCCCTGCATACCACAGGTTACTGAGCATTTTGAACATGGGCCTGTGCCAGGTACTGGAGACAGAGATCATCAGAAATTTACCTGGGAGCTCAAGATGTGTGGCTGTGGAGAGGGCAGGAGAGGAGAACCACACTTGGATGGGGCCAGGAATGGCTTCACAGAGATGCTGAGGGGAAGGGAACATTATATATACAAAAGCACATGCATTTTAAAAAGAAAAAGACAGAAAATAGCAGGTATCGAGGGGATGCGAGGCATTAGAACCCTCATCCATTGTTGCTGCAAATTTAAAGTTGCTGTGGAGACCAGTTTGATGATTCCTCAAAAAGCTAAACAGCCCTCACCGGTTTGGCTCAGTGGATAGAGTGTCGGCCTGCGGACTGAGGGTTCCGGGTTCGATTCCGGTCAAGGGCATGTACCTTAGTTTCGGGCACATCCTCAGTGGGGGTTGTGCAGGAGGCAGCTGATCGATGTTTCTCTCTCATCAATGTTTCTAACTCTCTATCCCTCTCCCTTCCTCTCTGTAAAAAATCAATAAAATATATTTTTAAAAAAAGGCTAAACAGAGAATTACGATATAATCCAATGATTCCACTCCTGGGCGTATACCCCAAAAATCTGAAAGTAAGAATTCCAACAGGTCCTTGAATGCCACCGTCTGTTGCAGCATTATTCACAATAGCTATGCGGTGGAAAGCAACCAAGTGTCCATCAAGACATGAATGCATAGCCCTAACCAGTTTGGCTCAGTGGATAGAGCGTCGGCCTGCAGACTCAAGGGTCCCAGGTTTGTTTCCGGTCAAGGGCATGTACCTTGGTTGTGGGCACATACCTAGTAGGGAGTGTGCAGGAGGCAGCTGATCGGTGTTTCTCTCTCATAGATATTTCTAACTCTCTATCCCTCTCCATTCCTGTCTGTAAAAAATCAATAAAATATATATATTTTTAAAAGACATGAATGCATAGACAAAATGCAGTTTATAGATGCAAGTGGAATATCATTCAGCCATAAAAAAGGAATGAGGTTCTAGTACATGCTACCATGTGGATGGACCTTGAGAACCTTATGCTCAGTGAAATAAACCAGTCACAAAAGGACAGCTATTACATGGGTCCACATATGTGAAAGAGCTACAACAGACAAATCCATCGAGACAGAAAGTAGATTTGCGGTTACCAGGGGCCAGGAAGAGAAGGGAACGGGGCATTATTGCTTAATGGGTAGAGTTTCTGTTTGGCGTAATGAAACAGCTTTAGAAACAGCAGTGATGGTTGCACAACACCGTAATGCAAGGGATGCCACTGAATTGTATGCTTAAAAATGGTCGGTTGAAACAGTAAATTATATATACACACATACACAGAGTGCACGGGCTCCCGCATGCTGAATGCTCGAAGGAACAATCATGACCACAGGACCACGGCCAGAGAGTTTTAGGGGAATGGCTGAGGCTGAGGCTGAGGCTGGAGGGCCTGGGGGGCAGATGCCCAGGGACTTGGTCTCATAAGATCAATACCGTGCGGGTTTCCATGGTGGTTTCTATCACCACTTTATCCTCTTCAACTCCAAGCACTGGGTGACCCAGTCCTGCTCTTGGAGGGCTGGATGAATGGAGCAGGATGTAACAGGGCCAAAGACATGGTCGTTTTTTGAGACATCCATGTTGTGGCATGTTCCAGTGGCTCTTGACTTTCCGTCACTGAGCTGTGCACCATCGTGTGGATAAATGACATCGCACGGTACTCTGCTGGTGAACCGCTAAGCTCTTTCCAGCGTGGGCTGCAATGAACATTCTTATTCATATCTTTTTGTCAACCTGTTTTCAGTTCTCTTGGATGCATGGGCGTGTAGATATTTAACTTCGTGAGAAACTGCCTGACCTTTTCCCACGCGTTTGTAGCATTTTACACTCCCCCCGACACTGTGTGAGTTCCGGTAGCTCCACAGCTTTGCCGCCGTTTGGTGGTGTCAGTCTTTGGAATTTTAGCCGTCTCGTGGGTGCATGGTGGTGTCTCATCAGGGTTTTAATTTGCATTTTCTTTTGATTAATGGTGTTCCGTTGCTTATTGTCCATCTGTATCTTTCCTTGTGAAATGTTGGTTCAAATATCTCGCCTAGTTTGTTTATTGGGTTATTCATCTTTTTTATTGTTCAACTTAACAACCAGATTGGAGGTTGCCAGAAGTAGTCATCCTCGATTCTGGTGGGACCAGAAGTCGTGGGGGAAGACGTGGACTGTGGTTGACACGGGCACGCCAACGCTTCCTTCATGATACGGCTGCACCCACGCTCTCCCTCTGTGCATTTGGGGGCAAGAGAAGACTGGCTTCGCTGAGACACAGCAGGAAACGCCTTCTCAGGAAAGCTCAGAAATGGGTGATGGGTGAGGTGGATGATCTGGTCAGAGAACCAAATACTGAAAACCAGAAGGCGGAGGCCAGGAGACCCCTCCCTTGAACTTGGAAACCTTTCTCATTGGCCTGACATGGACACTCTAGAGCCTCCTGGCGTTTGGCTCTGCTGAGAGCAAGAGAAGAAAGTGGAACTGCATAAGAAATCAGCTTTTGAAAGTTACTGGACAGTAAATCCTCTCTCTCTCTTTCTTGTCTTGGTGAGCTTACTGATGTCTGAGTCGTTTGCTGAGTTATTCCGAAAGGACCACAGAGGAACAGGATCCAAGGAGCCTCTGTCTTTGGTGCCTGCAGGCCGTCAGGACTTCTCCGGAATCCTCCAACAGTTGTTGGTTTTTCATGATTTTCTCTAACGTAAAGCCCTAGAGTTTAAAAATAAAATAGTAAATAAGAGTGATGGAAACTATGTCCACAGAAAAACCGCCACATGCGTATTCAGAGCAGCTTTACTCACCATTGCTAAAAAGTGGAAGCACCCAACATGTCCTTCCATAGGTGACTGGGTAAACAAACTGTGACACACCCAGACAGGGGGCTGTGACTCAGTATTCAAGAGAAATGAACTACTGAGCCACGGGAAGATACGGAGGAAGCTTTGATACCTGTTACTACGTGAAGAAAGTTAGCTCCGACCGGAGAGAATTTCTCATTTGTTCATTGCTGTATCCCTAGCATCTAAAACAGTGTCTGGGCCTACAGACCCTCAAAACATGATGGGAAACAGAGGTCCTTCCTTCCACCCTGAGTCACAAGAAAGGAGAAAGACACAAGGGCAGCCTTGGATGACCAGCTGAGACTGGGTTCCCAACTCAGTGTCTTTCCAAACAGGGGCCACCAACCAACATTCTTATTCCCAGGCCACACACCAGACCTGGTTTGTCAGGATGAGCACTAATATGCATTTTTATTTTTATTAAATACTAGAGGCCCTGTGCACAAAATTCGTGCATGGTGGGGGGGGGGTTCCCTCAGCCCAGCCTGCACCCTCTCCAACCTGGGACCCCTTGGGGGATATCGGACTGCCGGTTTGAGCCCGCAGGGATCGGGCCTAAACTGGCAGTCGGACATCTCTCTCAGAATCCAGGACCACTGGCTCCTAACCACTCACCTGCCTACCTGCCTGATTGCCCCTAACCACTCTGCCTCGGCCCCACCACCGTGGCTTTGTCCAGAAGGATGCCTGGAAGTCCAGAAGACTTCCAGTCTATCTGGTCTAATTAGCATATTATCCTTTTATTAGTATAGATACTTTCATTGATTTCAGAGAGGAAGGGAGGGGGAGAGAGAGATAGAAACATCAGTGATGGGAGAGAATCATCTATCGGCTGCCTCCTGCACGCCCCCTACTGGGGATGGAGCCTGCAGCCTGGGCATGTGCCTTGACCAGGAATCAAACCGTGACCTCCTGATTCATAGGTTGACGCTCAACCACTGAGCCACGCCAGTGGGGCCTAATCTGCATGTGAGAACCCTTGCGGTGCTTACTAAAAACATACCTGTGGAGGTACAGAGGCAGCAAGGCATGGACACCCTGTAGTTCAACCCTTTATCTTTACAGATGGAGAGGCTGCAGCCCAGGAAACAGTGTCTCACCAGAGAGCCACAGCAAGCCACCTCCTGGCTCTCGGGCCTCTGCCGGTGGCATGGCTGACCCCCCACTCAGGCAGCAAGAGCGTCTCCTGCCTCTGCTGGAAAAGATCACCCCCTTGGGCAGCTGATGAAGGCCAACTCCGTGTGTCAAGGCCACGAGGTATTTACTCCCCTGAGGAGCGAGGAGGTGGGGGAAGTCCAAAGGAGCTTTTAATAGGCCTGTTTAGGGTAAATGTTGATGAGGTCACAGGAGGATTCACTTCCCTAACCTGACAGGAACCGTTATTTTCCTGTTTCTCTTTTCACATGATATGATTTGCTTAGAATATTTAACTTGAAATGAAATGACCAGATTTCAAATATGCAAAAACTAGAACCAGGTGTAAGCCCAGGAAAACTGGCACCTGCCATTACTCTCCTCTCAGCTCGGCCACCAATTTGCCATCTGACCATGGGGACCTTGGACGCATCGCCTAGTCGCTCTGGGCCCTGGCCCCTGGCCATGAGTCTTCCCAGCTCTGATGGCCTGTGGTCCTCTGAGTCTAACTCACTCTACAATCAGCCTGCAGCCAGAAGCCCTGCTGGCTCTTCTGTGGGCTTGTTCTGGGCCAGGAGGACAAAACAGACCCAACGATTTCTATAGCTGAAGAGAGAGGTTAGTGGTCAGCCCATAAAACTAATGGGAAATAGAGATGGAGCACAAAGCCTGGGGAAATAAGGCCGTCTTCAAGCAGGGAGACAGCAGAAATGACCCGGAACAAAGGGGGCCCTGAAGGGCACTGTGGGGACACTTTTTAGGAAATTAAATTTTGGTACCAGGTTCTGCTCACTGTGGACCACCTTAACTTTTTTTTCTTTTTAAATTATTGATAGTTATGCTGAGGGAAAGAAGCCAGGTATAAAGGACATCGTGTATAAATCCATTTATATAAACTTCTATAAAATGCAAACTAACCCATCATGACTGAGAGCAGATCAGAGATTGCCTGGGGAAGGGGGAGGGAGAAGAGAGGGCCAGAGGGAGGGACTGCACAGGGGCATGAGGACTCTTTGGGAGCATGGATGTATGCTCACTATCTCACGGGGATGTGCACCACACGTCAAAACATAAAATTGCTCTCTCTGAATGCATGTAGTCAACTGTATGTCTGTTATATCTCAGTGAACCTGTTTTAAAAACTGTAATGAGCCTAGAACATCTTGTCAGACCAGAAAGCAAGCAAACTAGTCATTTTGTTAAAAGGATTCATGTGCCAACGTGAATAGGACCCACTGGCCAAAGATGGGAAAATGGGAGCAACAATTAGGATAATAACTATAGTGGATTGAAAAAGAATAAACAGCCCCGGCTGGTTTGGCTCAGTGGATAGAGTGTCGGCCTGCGGACTGAAGAGTCTGGTTTCAATTCTGGTCAGGACACGTGCCCGAGTTGCGGGCTCAATCCCCAATAGGGGACATGCAGGATGCAGCCGATCAATGATTCTCTCTCCTCATTGATGTTTCTATCTCTCTTTCCCTCTCCCTCCCTCTCTGAAATCAATTTTTAAAATATATTTTATTGATTTTTTTTTTACAGAGAGGAAGGGAGAGGGAGAGGGATAGAGTTAGAAACATCAATGAGAGAGAAAAATTGATTCAGCTGCCTCCTGCACACTCCCTACCAGGGATGTGCCCGCAACCAAGGTACAAACAAGCCCTTGACCAGAATTGAACCTGGGGCCCTTCAGTCTGCAGGCCGACGCTCTATCCACTGAACCAAACCAGTTAGAGCTGAAGTCAATTTTTTTTTAAAAAGGTATAAATCCATGTGTGTTCATAATGATAATATTAATAAACTTCATTGATCAATATCCTTTGGACATACTAGGGACCCAATTATTTTTAAATTGCTAAAGGTAAAGAATTATGCACCTAGCATGTCTTTCTTATATGAAGTGTACTTCATGTAACCAGTTAGCCCTGTGGTCGGCAAACTGCGGCTCGCGAGCCACATGAGGCTCTTTGGCCCCTTGAGTATGGCTCTTCCACAAAATACCATGTGCGGTTGAAACTTCGTGGCCCATGCACAGAAGTCGGTTTTCGATCTGGGCGAGTCTGTTTTGAAGAAGTACTGTTGATATTTGGCTGTTGACTAATGAGTTTGCCGACCACTGAGTTAGCCAATGAAGGGAATGTTCCTCTTCACAGGTACTTCAGCTAATAAAGCTAAAATGGTGTCATCATTTACAACCCTTTATCAAGGCCATGGTCACCAATGGCTGAAAACATCACAAAATGAGAAACATGCAGGTATTATGATTCTCCTCATGGGAGCACACAATACCACAAAAGTAGTCTTGTACAAAAAGTCAAACCGATCTGACTAGACCTTTTAGATGTAACCACCAATATGCAGAGAACACGGGAGGGCAAGGGAAGATGTTAAAACAACGCCATGGGGCCCTAGCCGGTTTGGCTCAGTGGATAGAGCGTCAGCCTGCAGACTGAAGGGTCCCAGGTTTGATTCTGATCAAGGGCATATAACTCGGTTGCAGGCTTGATCCCCATCACTGGTCGGGGTGTGTGCAGGAGGCAACCAACTGATGTGTCTCTCTCCTCATTGATGTTTCTATCTCTATCTCCCTTTCCCTTTCTCTCTGAAATCAATAAAAATATATTTAAAATATAATATATATATATATATATATATATATATATATATATATATATAATTTTTTTTTATATAAAACCGCCATGGGGATGCCACTAGCAAGATCTAAACTGAGGAAAACTCTACAAGGCAAACTACCTATTTTCTTAAAAAAATAAAAATAAGCCGAAACCGGTTTGGCTCAGTGGATAGAGCGTCAGCCTGTGGACTGAAAGGTCCCAGGTTCGATTCCAGTCAAGGGCATGTACCTTGGTTGCAGGCACATCCCCAGTAGGAGATGTGCAGGAGGCAGCTGATCGATGTTTCTCTCTCATCGATGTTTCTAATTCTCTATCTCTCTCCCTTCCTCTCTGTAAAAAATCAATAAAATATATTTTAAAAAAAATAAAAAATAAAAAAAATAAAAATAAAAATAAAAAAAATAAAGAGAGAAAGGAAAAGGGGAAAAATGAGATGAAAATGAAAGAAGTTGAAAGTGAAAAAGAGAAAGAGAAAACATAGATTTTAAAAGACTTAAGTTGCAATGTATGGTCTGGATCTCAATTCAAACTTTTTTTTAAAATGACATTTATAGGCCAATCAAGAAAATTTAAACACTATTTTGATATTAGGAAATTGATATTTTGGGGGGGTGATAGTTTGGTGGATGTTTGTCTTTTAAAGATACATTCTGAAATGCTTACCGGTGAAATAATAGGATGTCTAGTATTTACTTCAAAATAATGTTGGAGGGTAGGGGTGAGGTAGGTCCAGGTATAGAGGAAACAAGACTGACCATGAGTTGGTTAATTGTTGACTACATGATGGTTCATTAGGCTATTTTCTCTACTTTTGTACCTGTATGAAATGTTTTATATTGTGCAATAACATGTTTTCAAATTGTGCGTCAAAATCATTGCACTAATGTGAAAAATGCAATTTTAAAATCAGGAAGAAATACTGTCTTGCAAAACGCTGACGTTACTTGCCTGAGAGCGGTAGGATGAGTCATTTCCCTCTTCATTTCTACATCTTCTGTAATGTGTCTACATAGTTTTATAATGAGAAATACTCCTAGTAAACCCTAGGGGGAAACAAAACCTCTATTTTTGCCGTCCTCTTCCCGGTCTTAAAAACCCACCTATTCTCTCCTCCTTTTCCTCCAGGTTTTTGCTTAGCTTCCCGCCATCTGTTCAGCGCTCCCTAACTTCCCACCCGCCCGCAGGCTGATTGAGCTACCACGATGCTTAGCACAGCGAATTGGGGGGGGGGGGGGGGGGGGGGAGGTGCTGACTTCGGAACCCGCTTCCTTCCGATGCTTGAGTAACATCCACGCACGCGCGCTCTGCAGGACTACACCTCCCAGGAGGCTCTGCGCCTCGCAGGGGAAAAAGCCTTGGTAGCGAAGGACTACATTACCCAGTGACATCTTGTGGGCGGTGTTATCCGGATGACCACTGTCCAAACATTGGCCCAAAGTCTGTCGGAAGCTGCGCGGTGATTGGCCCAGGCGCCCGTCAGTTACTGCCAGGCGCAGTTGACTTTTGCTGTTAAGCCTGCGTGAGGAAGGAGGGAGAGCAGAGCTAGTAGAGCCGGGCGGCGCCCTCCGAGCGGAGTGAGTGACCTCTACTTCCGCGCGTCTCGCCGCCCGTTCGGACACCTGCACCGTCGCTCCCCGGAGGGAGCACACATGCGCAGGTATTCACGCGGGGGCGGGGACTGTACGCACGTGTGTCATGCCCGACCTGAGAAGCCTCTTCAGGGACGCGGAAGGCAAAACCCCACGCACACTCGGGGCACCTGTTCACGCGGGTGCCCACCTCGCGGGCATCGTCTCGGACTCAGGAAGCAAAAGCACTCCCGAGGCACACCTGTGTCTACACGCGGGTGCATCTGCAGAGAGCCCACACCCAGACACCCGTGTCTACACGCGGGTGCATCTGCAGAGAGCTCACACCTAGACACCGTGTCTACACGCGGGTGCATCTGCAGAGAGCTCACACCTAGACACCGTGTCTACACGCGGGTGCATCTGCAGAGAGCTCACACCCAGAGACCCTTGTCTACACGCGGGTGCATCTGCAGAGAGCCCACACCCAGACACCCGTGTCTACACGCGGGTGCATCTGCAGAGAGCTCACACCTAGACACCGTGTCTACACGCGGGTGCATCTGCAGAGAGCCCACACCCAGACACCCGTGTCTACACGCGGGTGCATCTGCAGAGAGCCTTAGCTGAACACATGGGCAGACCTCCCAGCTGCAGACCCAGACACCCGGGGCTTCCGCAGTAAGAGAAGGGGGCGGCAAAGGCACACACACCCCCACCTGCCCTGCCACTCACACCAGAGGCCCCCCATCTTCTGGGTGCTGTGTTGTATATACCAAACATATAATCACATTTCATTTTTATTTTGTCTCTTTAAATTATTGGTACAAGAAGGAAATTTTGAACAGCAGAAAAAGTAAGGCCACCACAGGACTATCTTTAAAGCCCTTTCAGGTGTATGAGACTTTTATCACTTTGACAAAGCTTATCAGGTGTGGCAGCAGCCTGGGCTAGGCAGGGCGGGCGTCATTCCCACTTTCCAGAAGGGAAAACTGAGCGCAGGTTAAATAAACCTGCCCAGGGCCCCTGGGAGAGGCTGAGATCTAAGGTGAGGTCCAGCTATGCCGAGCTGCTGAGTTAGAGAAATACCTCTTTTCCCCCACAGCCGGGGACCGGGCAGTCCCTGGGAGCGGGAGAGGCTCTCCCTCAGGCTCCTGCCCTGTTTAACCTGCTCCTCACAGGGGCCTGGAGAGAAACAGCTGGAGTTACTGTTACGGAGAAGTGGATGGGAAAGGCCAGGGGTCCTCCTTTGAGGGAATCAGAAAAGGTACCAAGAAATGGGCACATTCCTGGCAGGGCGTGGGGGTTTCACATCATTGACGTTTTAATAAAATGTCATCTTAGGATACTTTGCTGATAGAGCTCCGTGGAAATCTCGTGCTGGTTTTGAGGGTGGGTTGGAGTATTACTTTGGTATTTTCAGAAAAGTGAGGGCTTGGGGCTGAGGGAGTGGTGGGTACAGAGTCCAGGGTGGGTGAGAGAAGAAAATGAATTAATGGTGGGCCCCGGCTGGTGTGGCTCAGTTGGTGGGTGTCCACCCATACCCTAGAAGGTTGCTGTTCAGTTCCTGGTCTGGGTTCAAGCCTGGGTTTCTGGCTTGACCCCAGGTAGGGGCATGCAGGAGGCAGCTGATTGATGTTTCACTCTCACATAGATCTCTCTCTCTCCCTCCCTCCCTTCCCCTTCCTCTCGCTAAAAATCAATTAAAAAAAAAGAAAAGAATCAGTGGGTTGTCATGGTGTGGTCACTGACTTTTCTATTACTAAAGTATTCAAGACCTAGATTAATTCTGAGTTCCCTTCTAACGTCATTTTATATTTAGTTTTAGTTGGAATTGGGGGTGGGGGCATAAAAAAGCCAAACTATATAGAAGTGTATTCAGAAAAAGGCAGAAATCTACCTTCCTTCTTCCCTTGCCAGCCCTTCCCCCAAAGGTAACCTTACCAGCCCGTGGGGGGTGTTGTCACAGACTTTTCTCCTATGAGTTATACAGCGAAACAAAGTGTATTTAGGTCTTGCTATTTTTCTTTTGCAAAGATGGGGTTATACTACACATACTGTTCTGAAACCGGCTTTTTCTTTCACGTTTCAATCTATCATAGACATCTTTTCCGTGTGTGTCGCACTGGCTCATTCTTTTTAATGGCTGTATAGTATGCCATACATGGATGTGACTCAGTGTATTTGTTCACTCTCCATTGATAAGCATTTGTGTCAGACCCAGTTTTACAAACAGTGATGCAATGCATGCCATTGTACACCAGTGCTAGTGTGTAAAACCCCTCTCCAACAATGGTTCTCAACCAGGGACAGTTTGGTTCACATCAACTGGAATTGGCAATCGGTGCTCATACGTCTAAAACCTGAGCAGGGCAGAAGTCCAGACCTATAACGGTATTCTCTCTGTTCTGTGCTGCGTCCGAGGCAGGCGCTGTTTCAGATGGCTGGTCAGGGAGGGCTGCCCTGAGGGGTGATGTGTGAGCAGAGACCCTGAGAACCTGATCTGGTGTCTCCTCCTGTTTTTTGCATTTAGCTTGAAGCTGATGGACATTGTATGGGCCGGAGGCAGGGATGGTCGGCTATGACCCCAAAGCAGATGACAGGAGTATCTCCAAATTGGAGGTGGCAGTGTCTGGGTCTGTGTCTGGACTTGTCACTCGGGCGCTGATCAGCCCCTTGGACGTCATCAAGATCCGTTTCCAGGTACCCTTTCCCCCTTTTCCCACGTGATGGACGGACTGGAGGTCAGGGTCACTCTTTCATGCCAAAGCAGTTCCTAAAAGCTTGGAATTTTGTCGAGAACGTTGCCTTCGTGGCCTTTCCTGAAATTTCTCCTTCTCCTCCAGCCCCGCCCCTCCTGTCCTGACCTTTGTGTTTTCGTTCCAGCTTCAGATTGAGCGCCTGTCTCGCAGGGACCCCAGCGCGAAGTACCATGGGATCCTGCAGGCCGGGAGGCAGATCCTGCGGGAGGAGGGCCCGACCGCCTTCTGGAAGGGTCACATCCCAGCCCAGCTCCTCTCCATCGGCTATGGAGCCGTCCAAGTAGGTGCAGGGAGCCGCCGGGCCCCTGGGGCCGGGTTGCTCAATGGGGCAGCACAAGGACGAAGGGTCGGGCAGCAGGCGGCGGTCAGCACACTTCTCACGTGTCCAACGGGGAACCTACCTGACAGATGGGCCGAGTCAGACTGAGCTGTACCATAGGCCTTCCCTTCCCCGCGCCCCCCACCCCAGAGACTGGGCACCCACTGAACATTAGGGAGGCTCTCTTGACCTCACGCTCCCAATGGGACTTGGCAAATGGTGACACAATGCTTCTCACTTTTCAAAATCGCATTTCCACATCTGTGCTTCCCTGAACTTCCCAACAGCCTTGTGAGGAAGGTGAGAGCAAGCTGTGTGTGGGTCGGAGAGGCGACGTGAGCTGTAGGCAGTGGGGCTTCGTTCATCCTCAGCCGAGGGCCGGTTTGTCTCAGAGCGTGACACGTGGTGTAGATCCCCTGTCCAGTGCTCACGGTGGGCCAGGCCCTGTTTTAACCATTTCACCTCTGTTCCCTCACAGCAGTACTTTGAGATAGGTTCTGTTGTCATCCCTATTTTACAGACAAGAAGACTGGAGGCAGAGAGAGCTTAAATAGTTAACCCAACCAAAGTCAGCAGCTAGAAAGTGGCCCTAACTGGTTTGGCTGAGTGGATAGAGCGTCAGCCCATGGACTGAAGGGTCCCGGGTTCAATTCCGGTCAAGGGCATGTACCTTGGTTGTAGGCTCCATCCCCAGTGGGGGGTGTGCAGGAGGCAGCTGCTGGATATTTCTTTCTCATTGATGTTTCTAACTCTCTATCCCTCTCTCTTCCTCTCTGTAAAAATCAATAAAAAATGTATTTCAAAAATAGTTTTAGAAAGTGGAAGAGCCAGGATTCCCCCCCGGAAAGCTAGCACTAGAGTAGTCCCTACCTGCCCTTTCTACAACATCCCATCTGCGCATTTCATAGCTGTCCCATAGGCGCACCTGCCACAGGTGCTGCAGCATGGGAGTCAGTACAGCCACCTGTGCTCTAGGACCCCAAGCCGCCTCGAACTGGCTGGAGGGAGATCTGAGCGTACGCGGGTAACACCGTGGAACATGGAATAAGCAGAGTTCTCCCATCAGAATCCTTGCTTCGGGCGGAATGCTGCTCAGTGTCACTGCCACTGGCTGCACTGGAGGGGTCCCCTGCCAAGGCTCATATGATGGCCACCTTTTCTCAGGTTTCAGGAAAGTAAAGTTAATGAGTAGAATTTTTTAAAAATATATTTTTATTATTGATTTCAGAGAGGAAGGGAGAGGGAGAGAGATGGAAACATCAATGATGATGAGAGAATCATTGATCGGCTGCCTCCTGCACACCCTCCCCCACTGGGGATCGAGCCCTCAATCAGGGCATGTGCCCTGACCTAGAAACGACTGTGATCTCCTGGTTCATAGGTCAACGCTCAACCACTGAGCCACGACAGCTGGGCTAGAATTTTCTGATATAAAAGTTTTATATTTTCTTTTTTTTTTAAATATATTTTATTGATCTTTTTACAGAGAGGAAGGGAGAGAGATAGTTAGAAACATTGATGAGAGAGAAACATCGATCAGCTGCCTCCTGCACACCTCCCACTGAGGATGTGCCCGCAACCAACGTACATGCCCTTGACCGGAATCGAACCTGGGACCCCTCAGTCCGTAGGCCGGTGCTCTATCCACTGAGCCAAACCGATTTCGGCAGTTTTATATTTTCTTAACCTTTTTGAGTACTTGGCTCTACTCCAATAGAATCTAAAATGGCATCTGAGCTGCACAAAATTATGTCTATTGTATTGTCACTGCTCAGGACGACTCTTTCCTTGTCCCTGGGACTGGGCCCCACCTGGTCATGGGTCAGAGGCGGTGTATTCGGGTGCCTGTCAGTGACCTCCTCCTGCACTCTTACAGTTTTTGTCGTTTGAAATGCTGACCGAGCTGGTGCACAGAGCCGGCATGCACCGTGCCCGCGACTTCTCCGTGCACTTCGTGTGCGGCGGCCTGTCTGCCTGCGTGGCCACCCTCACCGTGCACCCCGTGGACGTCCTGCGCACCCGCTTTGCAGCTCAGGGTGAGCCCAAGGTAAGTGGCCTGGCCAGAGGAGGGGCGCCTGAGGAACCGAAGGTGGCCCAGGAGTTGGGGCTCTTTTCCTGGGAGGGAACAAAGCTGGACGAGGGGGGTTTTCAGTCTACCTGTGGGTCCCTTTGTGAGACCTGGAACCGTGCTCAGCACCTCGCACTGTGCTCACGGCCTCACGGGGGAGCCAGAGCCTCCAGGTGGGAACAGGACAACAAAGTGGGCTGGGCAGGGATGGCGCCTGGGAATGTGAGCCTCCAGGTCAGATGGCTGGTCGCGATGCTATGGTGAGACTGTGTCTAGTTCCCACAAAGGATGGGTTGGAGGAAATGGGGTAATGAAGTTCAGACTTCAGGAAGAACTTACTGAGTGAAAGCAAGGGATTAAACCCTGAAGTAGACCTCTCCACCGTAGTCTGTTTTTCCTGGACATATGGTGATAGTGCACGCGTGCGCGCGCGCGCGCGCGTGTGTGTGTGTGTGTGTGTGTGTGTGTGTGTGTGTGTGAGGGCGAAAGGGAGATGTGCTGTGACCTGGGCATCCTGGGGCCCGGTTTCCCTGCCCGTATTTGTTTCCTCCACGGACGCTGCCTGCTCCCCTGTGCTTGGCTGTGACCTTTGGGGATTAGTCCCGTCAGCCACACAGATTGCCGCCTCCTGCTTTAGCAGTGACAGCATGTTCCCGTGTCCTTTTTAATGGCTGTGTCATAACTCATGTACCCAGTCACCCGAGGGGGGATGTCGCGTCTTCTGTTCCAAAGGACACGCACTTTGTGCCCTCACGTGTTACTGGAGCCTCTGGGGGGAGCGGGGTTGCCCGGGGATGGATCAGTCACGTAAACAGCTTGGAGGGTCACTGGGAAAGCCCGCTTGGGATTTTGTCCAGCACGTCCTGTGTCCTCTTGGCAGGAGAAGTAATGCTCCTGGGTGTGCAGGAGCGGGGACGTGCACGTGGTGGGCTGTGTTCTCAAGCTAAAACCGGCGCCGCGCTCACTCGAGTTGCGTGTGTGCATCCAGGTGTACAAAACCCTGCGGGCCGCCGTGGCCACCATGTACAGGACCGAAGGCCCCTTGGTCTTCTACAAAGGCCTGAACCCCACCTTGATCGCCATCTTCCCCTACGCCGGCTTCCAGTTCTCCTTCTACAACTCCCTGAAGCACGTGTACGAGTGGGTCACGCCAGCCGAAGGAAAGAAAAACGGTGAGACAGCCGCACGGGAAGGAGCTAGGTCTCCCTTCACCCCACTCCCAAGACATCACGTCTCCTTCTGCATCGCGTGGGAAAGAGAGATTCCTGTCAGAGCTTAGACACCACAGGCTCTGAGCCCGCTCTGCCATGCGGCCGCTCACACCCATCCCTGGCACCAGCGACGTTTCCAACTACCGCTCGTGGCTTTCCTTTCGGTGAGAGGTCCACCTTGCGGACTGCCTGCGAGGGGCTGTGTGTTCTGCTTGGTTTTGTTCTGGAAGGTTGTGCAGGAGGAGGGCCATCCTGTTCCCCTTGAGCCTGAGCTGAGTGACATGGCAGAGCCCAAGGCCCTCACGGCCTCCAGCGGCGGAGGCAGAGCACCAGTGACTCTCACCCGTGCTGCCAGCACCTGTCCCACCTGCGGTCCCGTGTCGTTCTTGCCAGAAGTGGCTGTGTCTGGCTCTCTGTTTCCTGGATTAAATTTCTTGGAGAGCAAGGATGGCTTGTGGGTTTTTGTTTTATGTGGAGGACAGAGTTCATGACCTTGAACTTGTCTACCCGCAATTGCATTTTCCTCATTTCCCCCCTCATTCTCACTCCTCTGGTTCAGGGAACCTCAAAAACCTGCTCTGTGGCAGTGGAGCTGGAGTCATCAGCAAGACCCTCACGTATCCCCTGGACCTCTTCAAGAAGCGGCTGCAGGTCGGAGGGTTCGAGCAGGCCCGAGCCAGCTTCGGCCAGGTGAGCCGTCCCCTGCCCACAGCTCTGATCCTGCCCGCACTGGGGTGGGAGGGGCCCGGGGGGAGAAGGGCAGGGCAGAGAGGGAAGCTGAGTTCCAAACGAACACCAGGCCTGACCTTGGACTTGGTTGTTCATGAGGTCACTGCCTGGACATCGTCATCGGAGTTACTGGAGTCTATGTGGGGAGCATGGTCGCCTGGAGAAGGCCGGGCGGGAGGGTGGCACTGGTCAGGCTAAGAGCTAAGGAGGGCCAGGTTCGGATCTGCTGCCCAAGAGGGACCAGGTGGGATGGGGGGAGGGGCAGAGGTCCTCTGGGAAGAGGGTCCAGAGCTCTCACTGGGTCCTTAAGAATCAGAACCAGCGGGAGCCTCCTGGGCAGGAAGGAGCTCTGTCCAGCGCTGAGTTCCAGGCCCTTCAACTTGGAAGAGAAAGAATGGGGTTAACTTTCTCTGTCTCTTTTGCACCCATCCCTTCACCCGGCACGTCTGTATTGGGAGCTACGCTGTGCTAGGCGTTGTGCTGACAGAAGGATAGAGCCACGTCCCTGTTGTATCCCCTCCCCTCACCGGAGCTACCTTCCTCTCCCCAGGTTCGGAGCTACCAGGGCCTCCTGGATTGCGCCAGGCAGGTGCTGCGGGAGGAAGGCGTGCCGGGCTTCTTCAAGGGCCTGTCCCCCAGCCTGCTGAAGGCTGCCCTCTCCACCGGCCTCGTGTTCTTCTGGTACGAGTTCTTCTGTAACCTCTTCCACCGCGTGAAGAAGGCGGACAGCTAGCCTTGGGGCCGGAAGGTGGCCTGAGGTCTCTCCCCAGAGCGACCTCCTGAAGTAAGACTTGATCTGCCATCTCTGCTGCACTGAGAGGCACCGCCTGGTCCACCCTGCGGCCAGCTGTTGGAGCGTGACGGGCACTGGGAGGCCGCAGCCTCGACCCCACCAGCTTGGAGGCCACCAGGAGGGCAAGGGCTCTCTCCCTTGGGACCCGGGGAGGACGGAGGACGTGGTGGGATCCCAGCCGCTCCAGTCAAGGAGCTGGACGCCTCCCCTCCGTCTAGCCCGCAGCCTAAGGCAGGTGGGGACCCTTTTTCCTGCCAGGGGCCATTTGGATATTTATAGCCTCATTCGCTGGCCATTCAAAATTACCATCTTAAACATTAGCCTGCTGTATCTGGTCAGACATTTAACTGACTCGCCCCTGATGCCTTGGCAGGGCCAGACCAAATGATTTCTTGGGCCTTATACCTTTCCCACCCCTGGTCTAAGGGGAGCAGCTGCCTGCACTTAGCCCGTCTGCCTCCAGAGCTCTCCGGACCCTGGGTGGGGCCACAGCCTAGATTTGATGGCAGGGACTCGCCAGAGGCAGGGGTCTGACCCCACACCTGGGCTCTGGTTCCCGCCAACTTGCTTAATAGACACTAAGGCTAAAAGCACAGTCCTTACCTTCCCCCTCCACCTTCTCTCCTGAGTCACACCTCCCCTGGACACCAGCTGTGCCCGGCCGTCCCCAAATTCCATTTTCTCAGGAGTTGCAGGGCTCAGGCAGCTTGGCTTCTAGTTCTGGGAGAGGAATCCAAGCTGAATTGGTTACTTTCTGACAAGCCACCCAACCCCCAGGACCCCCCACAGCAGGGGCTCTGGGGAAGGCAGATTCTGCAGCCCTGTAGGAAGTGGGGGGCTGCGCTGAGGGGAGGAGGTGGGTAAAAGCAGCCGCCCTTTACCCCAGTTGACCTGGGATGGCTCCTCCTTTGGGCCGGGCAGCCCTCCTGGGTGGTAGGAGCACACAGCTGGGCCAGTTGCTGAGCATGTGGCCGGGTGTCTCCTCTGTGACCCCAGAAGGGCCCTGCTCTGACGCAGCCCAGTGAATGGGGTGTCAGAGGGAAGAGGTTGGGCAGACAGCCTGGTGAGGGTGCAGTAGGTGCCCAGGGGAGATGCGCATAGGAACCCAGCCCATCCATCTAGGCACGGGGAGGAACTTCAGTTTCCGGGGGTCAGGGTGGGGGTGGGGGGTGTGAGAAGAAAATCTACGGAACACAGCCACCTCTCATCCAGATCTCCCAGCCCCGAGGGGCATTGGACCTGTGGGTGGGCTCTGTAGTGGGAGCCAGGCTCCCACCTGCCTCCTCCCCTCTGGGCTCCAGCTCCAGGCCACTCTGACTCATGAAGGCGCCAGCTGGGAGCAGGCCTGGGGTTCCCCCCGCCTCGAGCCTGGGCCCCTTCTCTCCTTGTTGCTATTTCATGTCTTGGCTGGGGCTTTGCCTGCTCTTGGCTGCGGATTATGAAGGTCCAGGCTGTGGCTGGAGGGCACTCCGGCACCCACAGGGGTTTGGGTACTTAAGTCCTGGGCTTGGAGCTGCGGGGAGGTAGCTGCCTGGATGTATTTTCTACAAAAGTCCATTGAAGTAAACTATTTTCTTCACCGCTCCTGCTCACGGTGCCTTTGCTGCAGCTGAGGGCTCGCGTCCTCACCCATTTTCTGGTGACAGCTTCGGCCTCTCCTACCAGGAGGTGAGGACTCTGGCACCAGGAGGCCGCCATCCACGCTCCTCTAAGCCAAGGGGACAGGCGGTTCTTTGCCGCCACCTCTGTGTGCCCGTCTGCAACCCAGGGCGGACTCAGGGATGGCCCGTCGGCTGCAGCCGGCGCCTCTGCCAGCCACACCAAGGAAGACGCAGCCAGGGGCTTGCTCAACTTCAGGGTCACCCCAACACCTCGGGGTTGCGAATTGGCACCTAGGGGGATCCTTTCCCCCTTGATTTTCAACTTAGTTTACCTGTAACGTCTGTATCTGGAGTAGGAGAGGGGCAGTGGAATTTGGTCCAGCCCTCAGCCCCTGCCCCCCCTCTCCTAACTTGGGGGGTGGAGGGAAATGCGCCTGGTGAAGCCCTACCCCTCAACCATCTCTGCCCTTCCCCCTGGCTCCCTCCGGCCGCCCGGTCAGGGCCACGCCCCCCGCAGCCCCTCCCACGCCGCGCGGTCCCGCGGCGGCTCCTGACCCGGTTTTCACCTGAGCCCCGGCGTGGGGTATCGCTTGAGACCCAGGGCTTCATGCGGGCGGAGTGGCAGGTCCGGTCCAGCGCCGACGAGCTGTCCTGGTCCCGGACAGGCCGGGGGCGAGCCGGGTGAGAAGAGAACGGGGGCAGTGCGAGCGGTGTCGCGGGGGTCCCGGCAGCCCGCCCCTTCCCACGCCGGGGGCCTCGGGGCAGGCCAGGAGGTGAGAGCGGAGTCACGGGGCTCCGGCAGGTGGCGCTGGCGGGGCGAAGCCGCCTCGGTCCTGCCCCACCCATGCCCCGCCCACCAAGACCCTGTCCCGCCACAGCCCCGCCCCCACCCAGAAGATCCCGCCCATCACGGGCCCGCCCCCACCCCGCAGGCCCCGCCCATCCCCGGCGCCGCGGTAGGAAATGACCTAAGCCGGGGCCAGGCGCGGTTCTCTCCAGCGGTGGCGCGGACGTGGGTGCCGCGCGCCATGCCCGCCGAACGGCCTCCGGGCTCGCGGGCGCGGCACCGGCCGGGCAGGTGGGTCCTGGCGCTCACGCCGCCTCTCTCTCCCGCGGGACACCGGACGGCGGGTTCTGCTGCGGGTCCTGCACCGCCGGGAGCGGCGTTCCGGGCTTAGGGAAGCTGCCCAGGTCTGGAGACCCCTAAGGTCGTCCCCCTTGACCAGGGGGGTGGCACCGAGTCCAGAAGGGGGGCTACAGTTCGGGACTACCTCGGAGAGACACGTCTTCCCGCGCCCCTCTTTAAGAGGAAGGACCTAGAATGGACCAGCTCAGGGACTGGAGTCCTGAGTGGGCAGCGCTGGAGTTCTGCCACTCGGGAGGCTAGTGTAACCGGTCCGTCCCGGGGCGAGCTGGTCAGAACGGGGAGTGTGGGCTCCCAACCAGCTGGGCGGCAAAGAAGTGTCCACCCACCCGTTCAGGCCTGCCCTACGCGAGCCGTGGAAAGGTTCTGAGGACTGAGAGGGCTCCGGCTGAAGCTGGGACAGCTGTGCGCAGCTTGGAGGCTACTCCCCCCCCGCCCTCCAGCCTTCTCATTCGCCCAGAATCTTGCGGGGCCAGCAGCTTCAAGCCGATTTATATGGGCAGGCAACTGTCTACACCCGCAGCCCAGCGCACCCCACCCCACCCCTGGTATCAGCTGAGAGTAACTCTGCCTCCAGTCGGACGGGAGGGTAGGCGCTTTCACGCTTCATCTCTCTGCTCTTATGTAATCCCAGAAGCTACAGGGGTTCCTAAACTAAACAGCAGGTGCTTGGCTCGTGCCCAGTCTCCACCAAAAGCCAAGCTTGGTGGACACTCGGCCAACTACCAATTGCCAAGGACTGCCCAGGAGTACCTGTCCCCAGCAGTGGCCAGCCCCAGCCAGGGCCTGCAGTCTGGGAATCCCGGCCTCTCTCTCCACATCTGAGGCCTCCCCGTCACCTCCCCTCCTACCCAGGTGCTGTCACTAACCCTGCCAGTAAGGAGCTGCTGGGGCCAATGGTCATGGGGGACCCTGGTAGAGAGGAGTATAAAATCCAGTCTTTTGATGCAGAGACCCAGCAGCTGCTGAAGACAGCACTCAAAGGTGAGCTTGGGGAGCCCTCCTGAGCCTGGGTCTGGAGCTGCAGACACGGGGCCACGGGGACAGGAACGGAGGACAGCCCTAGCCTGGGAATGTCCAGCCCTCTCTCTCCCTTCAATTTCTGTGAATAGGAGTCAGCACCATAACTCTCAAACCAAAAGAGAAGCTACATTCAGGCCAGTATTTGGGAGTGAATCATAGTCCTCTCAGAATGTAAAGCCTTCCTAGTAGCATTTACATGCTCATGAAAGGGGCGTGGGGCACGGAGAACACAGTTCCTGCTCTTCAAGTCCTGAAATTGGACCTGGTTTCTGCGTTGCTGCAGCCAGCGCTCTTGAACGTGCAGAGCTGCCTGAGTCGGGACAGAGGATAGAGTGTTCTGCTTGGCAGGGGAGAGAGGGTCATTGTCCTGGACCGAGGCCTCCCGCAGCACTCAGGACAGAAGCTTGGCTCGGTTAACAATTGGCAGTGCCCATCACATGCCACGCTGAGCTTGTGGGGGAGGCCCTGCCTGGCCTGCTCATGTCAGGGGTTCATGGGCGTGTGTTATGAGAACACTTGCTCCTGTAAAGTTGCTGTCACGTAAGTGTTCCTTCCTCAGCCTAGTGCCACACGATCTGTCCTAGGAAACTAGCATTCTTTCATTAGTCTCTCAGCTGCATAACCTGCCCCATTGCCTCTGATTGGGCCGCAGGAGGCTCTGGGCGGAGCTGTGCCTGCTTTCTGATCTCTAAGTGGAATGTAAGCATCTCATGGTTGTGCTCTTCTGTAAACATCTCCAGTCCTTCTCAGGAGCAGGTGGAGGCAAATGTGCTAATTAAGAGACTGCCTGCCTGTCTCTACTCCAGATCCAGGTGCCGTGGACTTGGAGAAAGTGGCCAATGTGATTGTGGACCATTCCCTGCAGGACCGCGTGTTCAGCAAGGAAGCAGGACGCATGTGCTATGCCATTATTCAGGTTGGGGAGCGTTGGTGGAGAAGAGGGGAGACACTTGGCTTCAGGTGTGGGCAGAGATGCGAAGGACTTTCCTCAGAGGCAGAGAGAGTAGGACGAGAGGGTCCTCAGCCATGGAAGCTCAGGTGGGGTTGTGATGGCACTGCCCGCCCCTAATGCCACCATCCTTCCTCTGGTTCACAGGCAGAGAGCAAGCAAGCAGGCCAGAGTGTCTTCCGGCGTGGACTCCTCAACCGTCTACAACAGGAGTACCAGGCTCGGGAGCAGCTGCGTGCCCGCTCCCCGCAGGGCTGGGTCTGCTATGTCACCTTTATCTGCAACATCTTTGACTACTTGAGGGTGAGGCCACTGCAGCCACCCTGTGCAGCAGGCAGCCTGTCTCCTGAGGCCACTAAGCCAGTGCTTTGACCCCTGCTGTCCCCGACAGGTGAACAACATGCCCATGATGGCCCTGGTGAACCCCGTCTATGACTGTCTCTTCCGGCTGGCCCAGCCCGACAGTCTGAGCGAGGAGGAGGAGGTATGTGGCTGGGCCCGGAGGCTGTGGAGGTGGGCAGGCTCAGAAGACCAGCCCAGTGTCCATGGAGGCTTGAGGCATCACTTCCTGGGGCAAGAGCTGGGGGGTGGGGGTGGGGGCAGTGAAGGCCTGTCAGTACAGGACAGGCTGCCAAGTCTGGAACTGACCCAGAACAGAGAGCAGCCAAAACCTCCTGGCTCAGAGGCTTCCCCCCAGCAGGAAAGCCAACCTATAAAATGGCGAGAGCTTTGGCAGCTGTGGATACTGCTGGCCAGAAACCAAACCGGGGTCAGGCAGCGTGGGGGAGAGGAAGCGGGGTTCAGCTGCAGTTTGCAGACAGGGCCTGTGTCTGCCTGGCCCAGATGAAAGACCGTAGGCAAGTCTCTGAACTTGCTTCCTGTCATGTAAGATACGGGTCCTACCCACTGGGTGGTGAGGATGGAGGAAAATGCGTGTCTAGGGCCATGCAGTCTGGCACGCAGTGAGAGCTCGGTAAATGGCTGCTCTGTGACAGGCTGGCCCTGCCAGAGGCTCACCTCCCACTGTCCCTGCAGGTGGATTGCCTGGTGCTGCAGCTGCACCGCGTTGGGGAGCAGCTGGAGAAGATGAACAGGCAGCGAATGGATGAGCTCTTTGTCCTGATCCGGGATGGCTTCCTGCTCCCGACCAGCCTCAGCTCCCTGGCCCAGCTGCTGCTGCTGGAGATCATTGAGTTCCGGGCAGCTGGCTGGAAGACGACCCCAGCTGCCCACAAGTATTACTACAGCGAGGTCTCTGACTAGGCCTCCAGGCCAGGCTTCCCTCCCAGCAGCACTGGCCTTGCTTCTCCCCACCTCCCCCCTGGCAGCAGTCTTTGCCTCTCCAAAGACTTTTCCCCTTCCAGCAGCTCCCAAGAAGCTTCCCACTTATTCAGGGGTTCTGCCCTGAGCATCTTCTCCTCCTCCTGCAGGGGTTGGGGAAAACACTACACAGACCTGCCCCCTCCTCCCTCCCCCTCAGTCTCTCCCATACCTCCCACCTGGCCCGGGAAGAGAAGGGCAACTCCTAACAACCACTGCACTGTGTAACCACTGGCACCTCAGTTTCCCATCTATAAAATGGGTACCCATCGCCACTGGTAGGATGCTTTGGAATGTCAAGGGGGCAAGGTGCAGAGCACAAGTCACACAGAAACTTTTATACGTTTTGTATAAGGACCACTTTGGAAACAGGCCTATTTCCTCCAGTCGTTTTCATGGGTGGCAGTACTATATCACATGCTACACAGTTCAGGGTGGGAATTTCCTAATAAACCTTTCGGATACTAAAATGCCTCCTTTCATCACCCAAAGGTCCACCCCAAGCAGATGGAAGAGAAGGCTGGATGGGCCCTAAGTTTCTTGGGGGAAATCCAAGTCCATGTATTGCCTCTTTGCAAGGAGATGGGGCAGGGAGAGCGGGTTCTAGCCCACAAAGGAAAGGCTAAAGCAGTAAATATACTGCCCCATCCTTCCTGTGAGGCCCGCCCTTAAGAAGGAACTACATCCTTAGCACAGGTATTTTTCACTGTAGCAGCGGCTCACGTGTCTTGCAGCAGAGAGCCCTGGGCGCTCCCGGAGCCCCTACCCCTCCTACCACCAGCGGTAGTGGGCCAGGGCACGGTTGGCCTCGGCCATCTTGTGCATGTCGTGCTTCCTCTTGACCACAGGGCCCTGGTTGTGGAAAGCCTGCAGCAGCTCCTGCGACAGCTTCTCCGGCATCAGCGTCCGCCGGTGCTTCTTCTCCCGGCACTCGGTGATCATCCACTTCATGGCCAGGAAGCGGCGGCGCCGGTCGCTGAGTGGCACAGGGACCTGTGCAAGACAGGACGTGGGCCAGTGGCCCAAGAATTAGCCAGGGATGCAGCCTCCTTCCTCCACGAGTGCTAAGGAGTGGCCACAGGTTCCCTCTGGGTCAGAACTCGCAAGGCCCCTGAGGAGGGGGACCTGTCTTTTCCTCTGAGCTCCCCTCACCCGTGAGCGCAGGGCAGCGGACAGAGGCATTCTCTGAGCAAATGCGCATTAAGCACTGACCTCTCTACCTGTAAATGGAAGCTCAGCCAAGTTGATAACAAGCACCAACTGGGAAAAGCCCCACCAGCTGGGTGACTTAGCCAACTCAGATGACAGGTGCCTAAAAATAAGACCCTCTTGTCCAAGAATCATTTGCCAGGCCCCCACTATGTGCCAGGTATCATGCCGGACCCTAGGGACACAGACAGCAATAAGAAAGTCTCTATTTTTATGAAGTTTACACTGAAAAAGATGAGAACACCCACTTATGACAAGGAAACATAATTAAATACTATAATGAGGGCACCTAGTTCAGTTCAACAAATGTGATGAAGCATCAGTTACCAGTCCATCACTATGCTAGACACGGTGTATAAAGGATGAGATATAAACAGCCTCTCACCATGAGAAACTGACAGAACACAAGATTTTTTGGGGGGGCCAGGGGCTCCGGAAGTGGACACTTGGATACTTCGCTCCCTTCCATTTTCAGTCATATTTAACGCTATGGGACTCACATGATCAGATCCCGATAGTCTCTGGCCCCTAGAAAGCTACTCATCTTGATCCAACTCTGGTCCCTCCCACCTGCAAGAACCCCTCCCTGCATCTTGTCCCTGCCTGACCACTCACCTGATAGAAACGGCCACCCTTGAGGATGGGAGCCAGCCCAATCACGGGCTCGCAGTTTTTCAGTGCCTGGTGGAAGATGGTGTAGGGGTTGCGTTCAATGGTTGCCTGTTCCTCTGAAGAAGCAGCATGGAACTTCTTGAACTGCTTCCTCTTCACAGCTTCCAGAGTCTGCAACGGGACACAGTGGCAGGGGCTGCCCAGGCTTCCTGGACGGTTTCCCCAGCTGAGCGAGCACCTTGCCCTTCACTCCCATCATCCCGCTCTCCTAGAGCAGTGGTTGGCAAACTGCGGCTCGCGAGCCACATGTGGCTCTTTGGCCCCTTGAGTGTGGCTCTTCCACAAAACACCGACTTCTGCGCACGAGCCACGAAGTTTCAATCGCACTGTTCGTGCATGCCCGCACGTGGTATTTTGTGGAAGAGCCACACTCAAAGGGCCAAAGAGCCGCATGTGGCTCGCCAGCTGCAGTTTGCCGACCACTGTCAGAGCAATGCCAAAGCTCCTAAATGCCGCCTCCTCTCCTCCACCAGGACGGGAAGAGCCGCTGCGATTTGGGGACGGGAGGGGAATGGCAGTTGTTCATCCTGCAGGGCTTCATGAAAGCCCCCAACACACACACACACACACACGGGGAAGTTCATTTCAATGACAGGTACGAGAATCCACGCTTTTTCATGCTAAACTGAAAGCCAAGTACAAAGCTACAGGAGAAAGGAAGATGAGAGAGGAGCTATTTACCTGTGTCATGAGGGATCTTGCCAGGACCTTGTTTCCTCCTTTCATCATCATGTTGGTGAATTTGCTTCAAGGAGAAAAGCAGCAGGTTTAGCTTCCAAGGCTGTGTCCCGGAATCCTTGCGGTAGATCCTCCCTGGGCCTGACCGGGGGAACCAAAGGGCCCCGTCTCACCTGATCACCGGGTCTTCAAACACGGAGCTAGTGTTCGCCGACCGGGCGGCTTTGATGGGCTGGGTCTTCCTGAGCTCCCGCTCAAACTTCTCCTCCTCCGTCAGCTCTGCCCAGGGCTTGCGGTGATAGTCCTTATCGATCTGCGGATCCCTGAATTCCGGGCTGTAGCGGCTCCACCTCACCTGGGTGAACCTGGGAGACCGGGAAGAGGGGGCGGCGGGCAAGGCTGACTCCACAAGTGCGAAGGCTTGACTTAATAATAGGCAGGCTGGCCAGCCCACTGACTAGTGAGCGGCGCGGCCACCGCTAGCCCAGCCCGAGCAGCAGTAAGTCTGGCTATCGTCCCAAGAGGTAGGAGGGCCGCCCCCAAACAGGCCAGGAAGGCCGCCTCCTGAACCTCAGGGCGGACGCCCGCCCATGCACCTCTCCCCCCAAGTCCCAACACAGAAAACCCCAACTCTGAGCTCCTCGGCAAGACCGCGCTTTCAACTCGGAGTCAGAGCCCCCGCGGGCAGGGGGCAGCTACCCAGCCTTCAGATTGGCCCCAAGTCACGCTGCTGGTTCAGAGCTTCGAACCCCGGCACCCCGGCCTCCAGGCCGCCTGCAGGTCCCGCGCGTCTCGCCTGGGGCCCTGTCCTTCCTCGCAGGCCCCTCGGTGCGGACCGAGCGGCCTCCCAGCTGCCCGCCGCCCTCTCACCCTGGGAACCGCAGGACAGCACTCCGCACGCTCAGTGTCAGGTCCGAGGACCCGAGCACAGCCTTCACCAAGGGAGCAGCCATCTTGGTTTGCCTCGAGGACCCCACCAGGACTGCCCTCGGCGTGCCTGAGCGAGTGGCGGAAGACGGGGAAAAGGCTCCGCGGGGCCCTCAATCTGCGCGTCGCCCCATCCATCTGGGCGTTAAGAGTCTCTAATCCCGAGGCCCAAAGGCAAGAATCAAAAGGAAACACTCGCCCTCCCGTGATCCGTCGCAGGCAGGCGCTCGCTCCTCTCAGGCCCCCATGCAGGCCCCGCCCAGGCTCAGCTCTCGCAGGTTGTCGCGAGGTTTGAGGCCGCGGGCCCGGCCCGGGCGGCTGCAATATGGCGGAGGCGGAAGGAGAGAGTCTGGAGTCCTGGCTGAGTGAGTATCCGCGGCCACTTTTGCATGTCCTCGAGCCACCACCGAGCCGCCCCTCCGTGCACCCCTACGGCCCGTCCCGGGGCCCCGCGGCGGCGCCGCCTGTCAGCCTGGGCCCGCCGCCGCCAGCGTCCCGCGCTCACGCCCCTTCCCCGGCTGGGCGTCTGGCCCCCGCCCGGCACCTGCTCCCCGGGCTGCGGCGCCTCCTCCCGCTCCCACGCGCGTAGGCGTGAGCTCGGGTCCGGTCCCGGCCTCGCGGGCTCCGGGAAAGTGACAGCCAAGTGCGGCCGGCTGGCGGGGAGGCGGTGGAGGGGCTGCGGGCGGCTCAGTCCCTGCCGAAGGGACGCGCTCCGGTTTGGGCTGAAGCTCCGGAGCGGCGGGTGCTCGGAGCACACGCACAGCTGCAGAACCGGGACTGTGTGTTCGAGACGTGCCCGCTTCGCGCAGGCGGAATGTCTGAGGTGCGGGTGTTCCAAAGCCCCAGCACCGAGCTCTGCCCCGCCCCGCCCCGCGCGCCCTGGAACAGCTGAGCGCAGCGGCCTCTTGCTCTCATCGCGAGTCCAGCTTATGAGCCGGGGTGCCCTGCTGAATGGGCAGCGGGTTAACTTTGCTGCGGGCTGGCGCAGGCTCCTGGGGGCTTCCTAGAGGGGACCAGCTGGACGTGGTGGAAAGGCGCGGAGAGATGCCTAGACATTCCCTCTGCAGAGATCTCAGCCTCCAGGCCCTTGGAGGTGATGGCAGTTTCCTCCGATTGCCTGGCCTTTCTTAGTAAGAAACGGCCTTCAGGTGGTTGAACCTGGGGTTACATTTGCAAAACCTTGGGTTGCAGGCAGCTCACAACGCCTCTGGACCTGTTCTCCCGGACCTGTTCTCCCGGAGGCTCAAAGTGCTCTAAGCACATTCCTTTATCAAGTTTCCTAGTGAAGCAGACATTGTCACAACTGCACAAAAAGGGGACACCCGACTCCAGTCAGACCACTTGCCCAGAGCCACCCAATCAAAATCTAACCGCTCTGGACTTGGTTCGATGCCCAGATATTCATGGGGACACTGGAGCAGTTTAAGTGGCCTACGCTGAGTTCAATAGGTTTAGAGTTATGTTTTGAAATAGGAGAGGGACAGACCTGTTTTTGAGGGAGAATGGAGATGATGAGGGGAATGGAATGGTATCTGCAGAGACTACAGATGTCCCCGACTTAACCATCGTTCGACACAGTTTTTCGACGTTGCGATGGTGCTAAAGCAATAAGCATTCAGTAGGGACCGTACTTCAGATTTTGAAATGTGGCCTTTTCCCAGGCCAGCGTTTTGCGGTAGGATACTCCCTCCTGATGCTGGGCAGCGCCCATCGGCCACTGAGCACAAGTGTAAACAACGGGTGCCTATAGGGCACTGTGCTGCCAGTGCTTTTGGATATTGTGTTCTAGGCTAAGCAATAATGTTGGGTAGGTTATGGGTGTTAAATGCGTTTTCGACTTACGCTGTTTTCATCTTATGAAGAGTTTCTCTGGATGTAACCCCATCGCAAGTCTTAAGACTTAAGGTGTGAACTATCCCAGGTGACTGAGTGAACCATTGTTCGGGCGGACAGTCAGGGCGTTTGGCTGGTTCACGCTGGGCGTTGCTGTGGGAGAGAAAGCTGGGAAGGTACCTTCGGAAAGGCTTGCGTTCCAGCCCAGGAAGTTTACATTCTGCATTTACCAGACCCCCACTCCTACTCGACCTTGTGAAATCCGTTTTTAGGAAAATTGCTACCGGAGTTTTATATAGGATGGATCGGAGCACACGTTCTGGAAACTGGTGTGAGGGAGGTGGGGTGGGGGCAGAGATAAGAAATTAGGGGAGAAATTTAAAAAGACATTGAGGAGGAAGGGACTATGGACTGAGAAATGGGTGAGGAATGGGAGAGGCGAGGGAAGAGAGGTCAACAATGGGAGTTCAAACCTGGGTGCCTGCAAGTCGGGGCAGGGAGCTGTTTGGAAACAGGGAAGTCAGAAGTGGTGACCTCGCTTTTAGACCCATTTCTGAACCCAAGCAGCCGTTATAATTACACACTATCTTGTTATTTGCTCTGGTTGTGTCTCGTTTGTTGCAGCAGGATTGAATGCATTTTTGACTTTCGATATTTTCAACTTACAAAGAGTTTGTCTGGATGTAACCCCGTCGTAAGTCAAACGAGTTATTGGTTCCAACTATAGCACGTGAAGGAACCAGTGCTCGGGCTCCAGCACATCTTCTAGGGCAGGCATGTCAAACTCCTGGCCCTGCAGGCCGCATGCCTCGTTTATTTGGCCCGTGGTAGCTTTTGAGTCTGACATGCTTGTTCTAGGGCAGTGATGGTGAACCTATGACACGTGTGTCAGAGGTGACACGCGAACTCATTTTTTTGGTTGATTTTTCTTTGTTAAATGGCATTTAAATATATAAAATAAATATCAAAAATATACATCTTTGTTTTACTATGGTTACAAATATCAAAAAATTTCTATATGTGACAGGGCACCAGAGTTAAGTTAGGGTTTTTCAAAATGCTGACACGCCGAGCTCAAAAGGTTCGCCATCAGTGTCCTAGGGCCTTGTCACTCCATGTTTTGCCAGGATTATTACAGAAGCCCTGCTGCGTCCAGGGTAGGGCCGAGTCCGGTACTTTCTCTGAAGACCCTCAGAGCCTGGCGCTGTGTGCTTGATGCTCTCTGGGTGCCTAACGAACAAACACTTGGTGATTGACTCCGTTTCTCTTGATTCAACTTCTTTTCTTTTGTAATTATCGCTAACGGTTGACACCCACTCTCTTTCCGCCCCTGTTCTTGCCTCTGCCTATTTTTGAGCGTTTTGCTCCATAGGACTTGTCTCTGGAGCATCTGAGCGAGGATGGGATGGCGTAGCCAGTGCTGCTGGATCTTATCAGGGCCCAGGACAGTCGAGGCCAGTGATGGAATTCAGCCGAAAATGAGAGGAGGGAACTAGAGGCACAGACACAGACGAGAGTAAGGCTTTCAGTAAAGTTCTGAATATAGAAACCTCGAGTCAGAGTAGAGCCCAGAGGGGCAGTTCTAGAAGGCAGGGTCTGCAAGGGAAGCCCTGGTGTCCGCTGTGTGCCAGGTGGTGGTGAATGCTGAGTGGCTGGCAGCTCGTGTGCACCTGCTTGGGGAGGCAGTGGGCGGACGGGGTGATCCATTCACCCAGAGTGACCCCCAGAGGTTCTTCAGTCCTGTGGCTGCTGGAGGGTTGCTTTCTGAGCTGGAGCGCCACGAGGTTCTCCCGAGTGGCATTGGCCATTGCTGAAACCAGAGCTTTTTGTGCCCGTGTAGGCACAGCGCTCCCTGCAGGTTTGCAGTAGAAAGTTCTACCAAGATGAGAGGAAATGGGGTTCTAGAGAAGTTGAACACAGTGAAAAACAAGCAGGCCCTATTCCTGGGAGCAGGAATGCTGTCGAGATTCTAGCATGTCTGGGAAAAACACGCTTGTGGTGAATGCCTGTTGCGTGTGTGCGTGTGCGTGTGCGTGTGTGGTGAAGAGGAGGGGGGACCACATCAGACCGTATTGGAAGATACTTTTCCAGTTGTGAACAGTGGAAGTGAGCAGGCTGCTTTTCTTATACAAGCATGTGACTGTCCCCAACATAATAGTGATGGGTGGGATGGCTCCTCAGACCATCTCAATTTTGTGTTTCTACAGCCTCTTGACGTCATGTGAGAACTGTAAGCATCTCAGATGTTAGGGTTAGTAACAAAGCCACGCTAACACCTGCGGCGGTTTCAGAGAACCGGTGGGAGAGACGGGCTGCTCTGGAAGGTGACAGTGGGTCACTATGGCAGTTAATAGCCTCTCTTGATAGAATTAGTTCCTCTTTCCTTCCAGCTTGACATTTTGAAGGGCCTGCTGATTCTCTTTTCAAGATTGAGAACACACATCTCTCCTCCCTCCAAATGTGAACCTAAACCGTCCGAATCCTCCCGCAGCCAAAGCAGACACTGCCAGGCGGGTGTAGCATCCGGCACTGCGGCCGTGGCTCAGCCCAGGGAGGGCGTTGGGGGGCATGGCGTCCCTGTTAGGATTTGCCTGTGGAGCTAGTGGCTTTTGACGTTAAGAAATCAGAACTCGGGCACTTCTAACAACACCCCTGGCCTCCGTCGCTCTGTGCGACCCTGGTGGGCGTGTTTACAGGACCAGCCTTCCATTTGGCTTCCGAACCTGAAGCCCTGAATTCAGCAAACAGCTTAAAGCTTCTTTCTGGAAGAGCAAATTAAAGATTTGACTCAGAGATGGGAACACGTTTTTTTAAAAATAAATGTCCCCAGTAGTCTGAATGCTAGCACTGTAGCAGAAGGAAAACCTAGCGGGAACGCTCTGTCCACAGCAATGAGAACGTGCCTTCTGAAAGCCTTGATAATTACCAAGAGCTGGGAACACATTTAACCACCTCAGCTGGGGCATTCTCTGCCGGCACAGGGCCGGGATTACAGGGAAAGGAAGGTCCACACCACGTATCAGGAGACTTGGCACTGAGCACTGACTTTAAACTCCAGTGACCCTCTGAGGACACTCTGACACTTGTCTTTGTCCTTGATCACGGAAAACCACTAACCTGAGGGTACTCACTACTCAAGCGTAGATTCTGTTTCTGTGACCCTAGGGACAGACAGCACAAGGTATGGTGCTCAGTAGGGGTTCAATAGATGTTGTTAGTGAGCATTGTGTGAAATGTAGAACACATTTAAAGCATTAAATAGGTTAGGTCTTGAAAAGTTTTTGAAGGTATGTGGGATGTACATTTTTTATCAAGTATCTTCTTCTTTACTTTCTCCAGGAAACACTTCTTTTCTTTTGTAATTATCAAATTTTTTATTAAAAATTTTCTTCGATTATAGTTTACATTCAGTATTATTTTGTATTAGTTTCAAGTGTACAGCACAGTGGTTAGACAATCATATATTTTACAAAGTGTTTCTCCCCTAATATTTCCAGCACTCACCTGGCACCATACCTAGTTATTACACTGTTATTTTTAAGTTAAAAGGTACGTGTTTCCAACTTTTTTCCTTTTTATTGAATTTATTGTGGTGACATTGGTTAACAAAATTATACAGATTTCAGGTGTATTAGTCTATTATTGACTATATTTCCTATGCTATACCAGGAAATACTTCTTGATCACCCCTACTTGCTTAACACTTAGCTTATTTTTACATCGCTGGAGTTATCCATATTTTTTGTTATATTAAACATTTCGTGTAGGCATCTACTTGAATATTTTATTTATTTTTAAAATTTGTTTTTATTGACTTTAGAGAGTGAGGAGGGGGAGAGAAAGTGTGTTTGTAATTATTTGTGGTGTTTTTAAATCCTCCCCCGAGGATATGTTTCCTTCATTGGTTCTAGAGAGGAAGGGAGAGAGAAACATTGATCAGTTAGTTGCCTCCAGTATGTGCTCCAACTGGGGATCAAACCCATGACTGCTTGGTGCATAGATCGGCACTTAACCACTTAGCAACCCGGGCCAGGCCTGAATTGTCTCCTCTGTGACTTTCACAACATGGCAGCAAGTGGTGCTGTATGTGACTCGCTGCCTGACCCAACTGTTGAGGCTTTTGTTAGAGAAGAAGTTTGGAAAAAAACTATCTTCACATCCAGGCCTGAAAATTATGGGGACGATCTTCTGCTCTGTCCTCCTTGCTCTTTGTAACATTGTCCTCTTCTTGATTCTGTCCCAAGATAAGGCCACCAATCCTTCCAACCGCCAGGAGGACTGGGAATACATAATCGGCTTCTGTGACCAGATCAACAAGGAGCTGGAAGGGTGAGTCTCCGAGCTGTGAGGGGGCAGGTGCCACAGTTGCCTGGGAAGGTACCAAACCGAGGCCGAGGCGGTCTAGCCAGAGGGCCGCAGGGTCAGTATCTTGAAAATGTGGTTGCTTATCTCCTAGGCCACAGATCGCTGTCCGACTGCTGGCCCATAAGGTCCAGTCCCCACAGGAATGGGAGGCGGTCCAGGCCCTGACGGTAGGTCTTTCATCCATGAGCCAGGCCTGTTCTGGAGCATGTTAGATGTTTTACAGATGTGTGCGCCCTTGTGCCAGGCACTGAGGCTTCAAAGATGGCTGCCCGGCCATGAGGCCTAGTGGGAGAAGCAGAGGCTGAGGGAGGGACCAGCGGCAGGGCCCTGAGCCGAGGGTGGGGCTCAGAGAAGGCTTCTTGAGAGATGCTGACAGAGCTGTCCTGCCAGTTCAGAGCTGGCCAGCCGAGGAAAAGTGGAGGTGGGGATAAGTCATTCCGGAGCAAAAACAATGCGTTACTAGTGAAGGCGTCACAGCAAGGGGCAGTCTTAGAGTGTATTCAGACTAAGAGGGTTCAAGGCATGGGTCCTCTCACCCAGACAGAGGAGTCATCCCAGGGTTCTGCCTGACCTCACCGAGGTGCGAGGAAGGTGGAAGAGAAGTGGCCGTGAAAAGGGCGCTTAGGCAGCCCACGCGCACGCCTCTGTCGCGATCGAAGTCGAGCGGCGGCCTCAGACGGTGGTGCTCAGGGTGGTTTTGGACGTTCGGTGATAGATGGAGGCGCTTTGGTTTCACGTCACAGATGCTACTGGCATCAGGTGGGTAGAGGCCAGGGATGCTGCCAACACCCTGCAGCACAGGGAGGCTTCCACAGAGAGAAATGCCAGCGCAGATGTCAGTAATTGCACAGCTGGAAAACCCCGCTCACAAAGACGGAAGCACGAAGGGGACCTCTGGGCTGGCGAGCTCCTTGGCATAAACTGCAGGCAGAGGGGAGCTTGTAGTTGTGTGGCCCAGAGGAAATAAATGGAAGCAGGGGGAAGGAACCTATGTCATCTAAAATGTGGAAACGATTAAAACTTCATCTCCCACCTCCCCAAAATGTCCATCAGCTTGTGGAAAGAACCCTGGACCTTGAGTCAGAATCCTTCTCAGGGCCTCATTTTCCTCATCTGTAAAAATGGCAGCATCTTGCGGCACCCCCACCGAGCCTCCCTGTGTGTGGCTACAGGTGCTGGAGGCGTGTATGAAGAACTGTGGGCGGAGATTTCACAACGAAGTGGGAAAGTTCCGGTTTTTGAATGAGTTGATCAAAGTCGTCTCTCCAAAGGTCAGTGCATTTTCCTCATTTCTAGGAACTTCCTTTGTGTTTCTCCCGCTCTCCCACCTACTAGCTGTTACTGCACAACCAGCATCTCCATGGATTTGAATTTCTTCGCCTCCTGTCTTTGGAGAGCTGGGCCCTGCGGGTGGCGGTTGATACCACAGGCCACAGGGACAGGCAGACCTCTGGCGGGCTCCCAGCCTAAATACGACAAGTGACGTGGCAGCAGCGGTATATCGGGAGGGCCTGGATAGCACAGGCCTTTGGCTCCTAGCACAGAAGCCAGTTGTGTGGCCGATCTCACGTGGATACAAGGAGCTGGCCTCTCTTACTCAGCTGCTCAGGTTCTGTTGCTCACTCGTGTTGCTTACACTCTGGGCACCCACTTACAGCAGAGGGAACAGTTCTTGGGCTAAAGACATTGGCTCTTTTGAGATAAAGCGTAGTTGTTTCTGGCAGATTGTGCATGGAAATTCAGGGTCAAGCTCCTGGCCCCCTGCCTAACCACAGATGGATACAGCTCCGCCCCAAGCAGTGTCCTCCCCCCCCCACCCCTGCTGCCTCACACCTGATCCCTGCTGGTTTCCCATACGTCTGAGGGCTCTAACTTTTAGCAACCACCCATTGCTGTGAAGAGAGCCTTCCCACTGTTTCTGCCTCCAGACTCCAATTACCAGTTTTCCGATTTCCTTTTGCCTCTTAGTACCTGGGGGACAGGGTGTCTGAGAAAGTGAAGACCAAGGTTATTGAGCTACTTTATAGCTGGACGTTGGCCCTGCCAGAAGAATCAAAGATCAAAGATGCCTACCACATGCTGAAGAGACAGGGTATGTGCCTACTCCCGCCTCAGCCTCCATGCAGCCCAAAGGCTGGCCAAGGCTAGGAAGAATGAGGGGGTGTCTGCTGTCCCCATGCTATGTCCCTTCCTCCCTCCTGAGGACAATGGGACAGGCTTGGCTGGAGGTTAATGGGAGGTGTGTGTAGCCTGCTTGTCCCTGCCCCTACGGGTCCTGATCATGGGTGTGTCCCCTTGCTGTGTGAGCAAACACTCTGCCCTGTGTCACCTTTCAGGCATAGTGCAGTCTGACCCACTGATCCCTGTGGACAGGACACTGATCCCCTCTCCACCACCTCGTCCCAAAAACCCTGTGTTTGATGATGAGGAGAAATCCAAGGTAAAGTGCATCCAGCCTGCAGAGTCCTCAGGCGAGGTGTGGCCTCGCTCACGCTGCGGGGAGCTCCAGTTCCCCAGGTGGAGCGCTGCCTTTGCCTTCACCTTTGATACCCTTCTCGTCCAGCTTTTAGCCAAGTTGTTGAAAAGCAAAAACCCAGATGACCTGCAAGAGGCCAACAAGCTGATCAAGTCCATGGTGAAGGAAGTGAGTGGGCCCTGGGCCTTGGGTGTGGGATGGTGGAGCCCATGACGCAGAGAAGCCCTTTCCCTTGGCATCAGGCCTGCTCTTCGCCCCTGCCACCAGCCCACACTTGGAGAGGCTGTGGACGGACTACAGGAGCAATGGTGGATGGGGACAGGACTTGTATTTATTTTTTTAAATATATTTTATTGATTTTTCACAGAGAGGAAGGGAGAGAGATTGTTAGAAACATCGATGAGAGAGAAACATCGATCAGCTGCCTCCTGCACACTTCCCACTGGAGATGTGCCCGCAACCAAGATACATGCCCTTGACCGGAATTGAACCCGGGACCTTTCAGTCCACAGGCCGACGCTCTATCCACTGAGCCACACCGGTTACAGTGGGACAGGACTTTTAAAACAAAAACCTGTTAACGGTCTGAGGCCCGTGGTTTCCAAGCACCATGTTCTCTGGTGTGACCCATGCCTCGAGGGATTGTGTGGGGCAGTGGGACTAGTTGAGCTTTCTCCTTGATCCTTTGCAGGATGAGGCACGGATCCAGAAGGTGACCAAGCGTCTGCACACTTTAGAGGAGGTTAATAACAACGTGAAGCTGCTCAGTGAGATGCTGCTTCATTACAGCAAGGAGGACTCGTCAGAGGCAGATAAAGAGCTCATGAAGGTAGCTCCCCCACCACGAGGACAGCTGGGCTCTGGGCAGGGAGCCAGCCTTCGCCAGGTGCCTGCTCTGTTGAAGATGCTGCTGCACATCTGATGGTCCCTAACTTGCCCCGGGCAGAGGAGCTGCATGTGCACGACTCTGACTGAGACCTGTTCTCAGCCTGGCCTCCTGCAGAGGCCCCCGTGCCCTAATGTGGCACCTCAGTTCTTGGCCACAGATACTTTGAAGTCTGAGTACATGCTGGCAGGGATGTACTTGCCCTTGTCCATCCTGGTGACTTCTCTGCCTAAGCAGGTATTTGGGTGTCAGTGCGGTGCAGGCTGGAAGCAGAGGACTTGTGCTCTGAACCAGCTCTACCAGGAACTGACCGTGATGCCAGGAGAGCCTGTGATTTTGTGGGCGTGAATGCTAAAGGAGATGATCTCCAAGGTTGTTCTGTCTGGGTCTCTTTCAGGAGCTGTTTGATCGGTGTGAGAATAAGAGGCGGACATTATTCAAACTAGCCAGCGAGACAGAGGACAATGACAATAGTTTGGGTGAGTGGAAAGACTAGTTGACAAGTACGACCCAGGAATTGGATTTGTGTGTGGAGGGGGAGTTGTCGGGGCCAGAGATGAGAAGTCTCTTTTCTACTCTAGGGGACATCCTGCAGGCCAGTGACAACCTCTCCCGAGTCATCAACTCATACAAAACAATCATTGAAGGGCAGGTCATCAATGGTGAGGTGGCCACCTCAACCATGTCTGACTCTGAAGGTAAAATGTTTCGGTTCCTCATTCTGAAACCCTCCAGACCAGCCACCACCCCCGCCTCCAGTGTGTCAGCCCACAGGGCTCAAGGGGATTCTAAATGGTTCTCCAGCTTCCCAGAGGGCAGGGGGTCGGACAGGGCTTTCTCCGCCTGCCTTCACTTTTCTACTTGGCATGAATGCCCTGGGGTTAGGCCAGAGGCTGCATAGCCACTCCAGTGCCCCTAATGATTCCTGTCCCCTTCCATTCACTCCTCCAGGACACCACCACTCCAGGAACCAAGGCACTCTCATCGACCTTGCAGAGTTGGATGCACCGGGCAGCTCAACCCCCGTTTTGGCCCCCGCCCCACCCTCCTCCGGCATCCCCATCCTCCCTCCACCCCCCCAGGCCTCAGCACCTGGGCGCAGCCGCTCGTCCAGCCAGGCGGAGGCCCCCCCAGGGCCCAGCAACACAAGCAGCGCCCTCTCCTTGCTGGATGAAGAGCTGCTCTGCTTGGGTGTGTCCTGGAGGAAGGCTGTAAAGGGCTTCTAGCAGAACCAGGAGAGAGAGGGCATGGGATTAGGTGGCCTGTATGGTGCCCCGGGTACTTCGCAAGGATAGGGAAGCTCAGTTGTAGGGAGAGAAAGTCAAGTTCAGTGTCCCTCACGTGTCTGTAGTCGACTCTGGGTGGAAACGGTAGACCCAGTCTTACTCTGCTTCCATCTTCCTTGGAACACCCCCCAAATGTCAGGCCTCCCCTCTGGAGGTCGCCTGGGGAATACATCCTTTTACTGTGGGACCCCTCCTCAGATGGTGGAGCTGGAGTTGCCCAGCCCTGCGCCTCTGCTCATCACAGCCATCTTTGTTCTCAGGCCTTGCTGACCCAGCCCCTACGGCTCCTCCCAAAGAGTCAGCTGGAAACGGCCAGTGGCCCCTGTTCCAGGTAGGTGTACAGGTGACATCACTGAGACACTGGACAATCTTGTCAGTATCTTTCCCAATTAGTCCTTAGCCCCTGGGGCCCTGTCCTTGGAGGGCTGCTAGTCCAGTGGGATTGCAAAGGAGCCAGGAGTGGAGAGCCAAAACCCTCCACGCCCCTGCTCACTTAAACTTTCCATTCCCCATAGAACGAACAGTCGGACCTGGACTTCTTCAGCCCCAAACCTGGGACTGCTGCTTGTAGCCCCTCAGATGGGCCTGTCCTCCAGCCCTCAGCAACCCCTGCAGGCAACTCCCAGCCTCCACTGCCACCCCCCTTCCCAGCTCCTGTGGTCCCAGCCAGCGTTTCTGCTTCAAAAACAGGCTTTTTGTTCCCCACTGGACTGGCCCCAAAGGCTGAGCCCACAGCCCCCGGGTACCATGGCTCAGCTTTGAGTGACAGCTCCCTGCACCAGTTGGATGCCCTCGATCAGCTTTTAGAAGAAGCCAAAGCGTAATGAGTGGGAGATGGGGGTTGGGCTTAGAACCAATGGGGTTGGGGATGTTCTTTTGGTCTGATCTGAGACTGGAATCTGAAAGCTAGGGGGTACATAGGAGCCAGCTCTGGCCTGGGGGTGTGGGAGGTGCTTTGTGAGAGTTGGCCCAACAGTTCTGCTTGGTCTCTGACTGGCCTTCTCCTTCCTGCCTCCCAGGACCTCAGGCCTGGTGAAACCCATCTCCTCCAGCTTCTTCCCTGGGGCCACCGCCTCCCCTCTGATCCCCAGCAGCACCTCAGCTAGGCCTCTCCTGCCGTTCTCCACGGGGCCTGGCAGCCCTCTCTTCCAGCCACCGGTCTTCCCATCCCAGGGGAGCCCCATGAAGGGGCCTGAGCTTTCCCTGGCCAGTGTCCATGTCCCCCTGGAATCTATCAAGCCTAGTAGGTGTTGGAGGCTTGGAGTGGGAGAAGTGGGGCCCCTAACTTACAGCGTTGTGGGGAGGGGTGGGTTGGTGCAGGCTGTCCTTGCCCGGGTCCCTTAGAGTCAAACGTGACCTGTTCCCTTATTGTCCTGGCTAATGCGCAGTCTTGTTAAGTTCTGACAGCAGTCCTTTCCCAGACTCCTTCACGGAGCACTGCTCTCCCCACTTGGCTGTAGCAGACACCCCCGGGTTCTGCTGGGGATTGTTGACCTGCTCGCTCCTTCCACACCCACGTGCCACCTTCTTACAGGCAGTGCCCTTCCTGTGACAGCCTATGATAAAAACGGCTTCCGCATCCTCTTCCACTTCGCCAAGGAATGTCCACCAGGACGGCCCGATGTGCTGGTGGTGGTTGTGTCCATGCTGAATACGGCTCCTCTGCCTATAAGAAGCATCGTGCTACAGGCTGCAGTACCCAAGGTACTTCCCAGGGCCTCGAGAGGCAGAAATTACTTTTATCTTGACCCCACTGCATTGAGTGGCCAGCAGGCGGCAGTATGTCCCCATTGTGACCCTACTGCAGGGGTGGGCAAACTTTTTGACTCGAGGGCCACAATGGGTTCTTAAACTGGACCAGAGGGCCGGAACAAAAGCATGGATGGAGTGTTTGTGTGAACTAATATAAATTCAAAGTAAACATCATTACATAGAAGGGTACAGTCTTTTTTTTTTCTTTTTTCGTTTTATTCATTTCAAACTGGCCGGATCTGGCCCGCAGGCCGTAGTTAGCCCACGGCTGCCATACTGGGTTCCACCTGCCGCCTCTTCAAAAGGAGCTTTCTCTTCCTCTTTAGTCAATGAAGGTGAAGTTGCAGCCACCCTCTGGGACGGAACTCTCTCCATTTAGCCCCATCCAGCCACCTGCAGCCATCACCCAGGTCATGCTGCTGGCGAATCCACTGAAGGTGAGCTGGAAGCCCCAGGTTAGGATCTTGTCATCACCACCTTCAGCCCTGCCCACCTAACCAGAAGCGCCATGGTACTGTAGCATTAACCCTGTCCCCCTCCTCCCCTGGTTCAGTGGCAGAGTGAGGATGGGGTGGTGGGATCAGGGCCTGTCCCCCAGCACGAAAAACCTCGAGGTTATAGTCTCACACACTGCCCCTCTGTCGCAGGAGAAGGCAAGGCTGCGGTATAGGCTGACCTTCGCCCTTGGGGAGCAGCTGAGCACAGAGGTGGGTGAGGTGGACCAGTTCCCCCCTGTGGAGCAGTGGGGGAACCTATGACCCTGAAGGATGCGGTCATCTCCACTCTGAAGCCCAAGTAGGCCGCCCCGAGACAGACAGGAGGGCTCTCCGGGTCGTCATTCTCCGTGTCCTGACCACAGCTGGAGCTTTGGTATGGAACAGGGGCCCTGGGCATTGCTGCCAGGAGCTTAACTGTGATGGTCTCTCCTTTGGCCCCTTAAAGGACCTGTTTTTATCTACCTGTGTGACTTGAAGTGGCCATGTACTGTTGGGCGGGGTGTGGCCCCGGACTCTGCACTGTCGCCCTGGGAACACAGACTTAAAGCTGGAGTAGGTTTTCCCCTCGTGCTGGCACCCTGCTGCCACAAGAGAGGAGGTCTCTAAAAAGACTTGGGGCCCTTCCTCAAAGACCAGGTCCTCACTCCCCACCTCCACCATGCTACTCTGTGCTCCCCTTGCTGGCAGGCTCCTACCTCCAGGAAGGTGGGCAAGGTCCAGTGGTCCCAAACGGGCCTGGGCACGAGAAAGGAGTGGGTGTGCTGCCTTCCACGGGCAGTGCCAGCCTGGAATGGCCACTGGATAAGGTTGTGCTTGTCCCTGGCGATGGCAAGCTGTGTCCTTTGGACATCTCAGCAGGACGTGGAACTCAGCCTATTAGAAACAGAACTTGGCCCCAAAGCAGCCTAAACTAAGGCTGAGAGAGAAGACAGAAGAGAACCGTTTCCCCTTCTCCGAAGCAGGTACTCGGAGCTTTCTGCGAAAAGTGTGCCTCCCGACGCGGGACCAGGCCAGCCTATTCACTACCTCTTGCTTGGCATGAAATAAACTGCTGTCTTGCCCTTCGAGCCCCTGAAGGGAGGACAATTCCTGCCCCCCTCTACGTCCTCCTGCCTTGGCCTCCCTCTACCCCCAGATGGCCTGTCAGGACAGAAGTCACAGACAGGAGGCCTCAGGGTCAGGCAGTTGCACTAGACTTACCTGCTGCCCAGAAACTGACTGTCCTCAGCTGCAGGGGGTACTGTCAGCGAGATGTTGGGTCTGGAGATGGTGAGATTGGGGGCCAGGCTTGAATCGAGTCACCAGACCTTATTGCTTGAACAGTGCTCAGCCCAGCTAGCTTGTGCCGGCCTGTAGGCCTCCCAGGGCAACAGGAAAGTGAGAACCACCAGCTGGGGAAAGAGGACACAGCTCACCTGAACTCAGCTGGACGGGCTCAGAGCCATCTCCAGGGGAAGGCGGCACAAGCCACGCTCCTGGATTCCTCCCTGTTCCTTGCCAGGCTTCCTCACCTTCCCCTTCCCTCCCATCTCTGGCAAGCAGGTTTCACTGCTTCGTTAAGATAGGTCAAACGTGAACTGATTTCACTCCTTACGGAAAAAATCCAAGAGTTTCCCAGAGGCTGGCTGCCGCAGCCCTGGAAAAGTCTATGGGATTGCTACCTGGAACTGTACCTTTACAATGAGGTTTAGACGTTAAAATTATTTATGAGTGTGACTGTTTCATGACAAACAGCTATACTGGATATATCAACTCTGCTGCCCTTATTTTACTGCATGTTAAATAAAACCATTTTCAACCTACTTGGAATTCTTCTAATACAGATGCCATTCACCCCATTGGGAGGGGGCTCCACTGATGAATTCTAAAGGTAGACATCACCTAGGTTTTTGGGTTTTTTTCTCTTTCTCCACCTACGTTTTTGTTAAAAAGTACAGGGTCCTGGACCTTTTTCTTTTTTAAAAGAGATAACCAGAAAGTTAACAGATCAGTGTTTCGGATGATTCTCAGGTGAGGCCATATTTCAAGGTCCTGTCCATGTTTCTAATTATAGGCAGGAGGGCACTGCACTCACCATAACTTGTGGGGGTGCCTTTTTCTCTAGGAGACAAGTCACTTCCACGTCAAAAAAACACAATAAGCATTTTCTTAACTCTTATGCATCAGGTTCACAGGGGATGTAGATAAACTCCCTGGCTGAACTCTATAACAACTTGCCTTATTTTTGCAAAAGAAAACATTTATTCTTTAAAAAATGTATATACATTGCCACACACAGATACCATGCGGGAACAGCTCTCAGCCGGCCTCAGGAACCTTCCAGTGAGCCTTCTTTTATAATTGCCCGAGCCAGATTTCGTGCGAGAGAAAGCCTCAGCATTTCCACCTTGGTGGTCTCTATGTCATCATCCTAAGGGCAAAGAGAGCCAGCATGAGGCACAGCAGGAAGTGATCCTTGAAAGCTCCCATGGGCTCTACCCAAAAGCAGACAGAGGTCACTTGGCATTCAGCAAGAGCTTCCAGCAAGTCTCAATGCAAGAGCTGAAGGCACAGGACCACCACAACTGATTTGACAGCAAAGAACAGATCAGAACTAGAATCACCCCATTTTTTCCTAAAAGAAGTTAGTGTGTCATGGTTACAGTTTATGAGGCACGGGAGTTTGTAAGGGGCCAGTGTTTGTGGAAGGAGGTGGGGGGAGACAGAGATACAGGGAGCCTTTTTTCATCTCTATTGTGAAACCAACCCAGGAAGCTAAAATGACCTGGAGTTGCTGGGCATCAGGTTCTCCATGCACCGGTCGTCGTGAGGCCAAGTCCTCCAGACATCTCAGCAGCTCGTATGTTTGCTCTGCTGAGAAAATCACCTAGGAGAGAGAAGCTGCTTCTAGCTGAGGCCTACTGATTTGGGCCTTAGCCCAAGTTCAGAGATGGTCTTCTTTGCATGCCCTTGGAGAGGGGTTCTTTGTATATGCAGCCCTGGGAGGGAAAAGCACCTCTATTCTCACTCGCAGCCCTAGGATGGGCATGGTCAGCAGGCAACGGCCTCATTTTAAATCAAGTCGTTTTTCTTGGGTGGACATTAGACTTCCAGAGTGGGTGCTATTGGGGAGACCTATCAGGGAGATGACGTATGTTTGCGCATCTGCACCAGTGACAGAGGAAGCATTGTCAAGGACTACAAAACGGAGCAGAAAAGCATTGGGGGCTCAACCTGTACCTGTTTCTGTTCCAAAAGGGGTAGGGCATCTGTTAGGAGTGTCATCCAGAAAGACCGAGGGGCGATCTGAGAAGTCATCAGTGACAGGAGAAGAGAAGCTGCATCAACAAAACGCTTGTCCCCATATAATCGGTGGAATTCACGATACTTTCCTATTGAAAAAAGAGCACTAGGTCACCTCTGGCCCTAAACAAGAGAAGGCAGACGCCAGACCAGCCATTCCATAGAGCAGGGACATTCTTCAAAGCTGTATCCAAGTTCAGGCACTAACGAGACCACATACTTTGAAGAGACTCAAACCAGCCAAACTTCGGAGAATGTAAGCATTAAAATAAACAAGAGTTACAGGTTCTAACAGACTGAACAAAAATAACCCAGGAGTCCATTACTTGAGGTAATAAAAGACTAAAAGCAGGGATGAAGGGAAAGCCTTCCATACACTGGGATGCCAACTAAAACAAACAATGAGAGGCAGAAAATCAAAGAGGGTGGAAAGTTCAATGAGGAACAAGACATTTAATTCCTGCCCTGACTAGTTTGGCTCAGTGGATAGAGCGTTGGCCTGCGGACTGAAGGGTCCCAGGTTCGATTCCGGTCAAGGCCATGTACCTTGGTTGCAGGCACATCCCCAGTGGGGGGTGTGCAGGAGGCAGCTGATCGATGTTTCTCTCTCATCAATGTTTCTGACTTTCTATCCCTCTCTGTAAAAAAATCAATAGAAAATATTTTTTTTAAAAAAGACATTTAATTCCGAAGTATCCCTCCCCAAATTATTAAATCAAAGGGAAAGTCAGTGCTGCATGGAGAAACAGCTGGTGGATGCCACTTTAAGTGATCAGAGTGAAATCCAACAAGGGGACATAGCACAACACATCACCTCGGCAGCATTCCTGCCCCGAACACATACATCTAAATCTGATCACAAGGAAACATCAGATAAACCCAAATTGAGGACATTCTACAAGAGAGCTGAACTGACTCTTCAAATGTCAAAGTTAAGAAGCACCAAGAAAAGTAGAGGCACTTAAACTAGTGAATTTGGGTAAAGTGTATATGAGAGTTCCTCATTCCTTACACTACTTTCACAACTCTTCTCTAAGTATGACATTACTGGAAAATAAAATATTACCAAAAAATATACTTTGCAAAGTCTGGCACACAGGGTTCTATGTGGTTTGGAGTTTGGGCTTAACAGAAAGGAAACACTGGAGAAATCTTGAGCAGAACGTCCAACCTTCACAAGTGTCCATCTGTGACAACTGTCTAAGGGACAGCGCCCCAGGAGACTCACCCAAGAATGTCAGTCGGTCACTGAGCATCATGGCCGGCCCCAGGTTGTCAATGAGATCCAGATCAGAAAAGCAGCCTCGCTCACAGTAATCCCTGAGGAACCTGCAAGGCCAGACCCGGAGATCAGAAAAGCAGTCCCAGGCCCACCTCCTCAGCCTCCGCATTTCCCAGACAGTTCCCCGAAGCTGATGCTGGTTGAACCCACCTGTCCGACACCAGCGTGGCAAAGGCAGCATCTTTGGCGCGAATGCTCCACGAGAGGGCGGAACCCAGACGATTGTTGCGGACAGCTTTCATAGCTAAGATCTTACAAATGCTGCGAACTTTGCAGGCAAAAAGGGAAAAGGTGAGTCCTTCATCCTACGAATCATTCCTAAACCCTGCTGGGAAAGGACCAGCCCTCTCACCTCCTCTCGGCCTTCCAGTCTCCCCCACAGGCCCCAAATGCAGCTTGGTTGGCAGAACGGGTTATAAATTGCCTCCTAGTGTTAATAGTATGACCCACCCTGACAGGATCGGCTTTGTGAGCTGATTTGATGTCAGGGGTAGCAATAAGGTATTTCTTGCTCCCCCCAGATCAACTCTTCCAATATGGTTCCAGGTGCCAAAAATCCCATCATCCCTTGGGTCCTGAATGCCCCATGCTTTCAGTCATGAACACACAAGTGCCTCAGGGAAGAATAACTTAGGCTTTTATCACGCAACAATGAGAAGGGGCAAACTTCATTTCCTCCCTGTTCTTTCCAAACCACCTCTGGTCCTGCTTCCCCAGAGCCAGCCTTATCTAGCAACAGCAACTCACTCGGGACAGGCAAACCCAAAGCTGACCCAGCCCTGACCTCTTGGAGTAAGCATGAGGGAAGTGGGTGAGTAATGTTTTTAAAAAGGCAAGTGCTCATCTGGATGTTGTGCCTCATTGACTGAGTGCCAACCTATGAACCAGGTGGTCATGGCTCAATTTCCAGTAGGGGGCGTGCAAAAGGCAGCCCATCAATAATTCTCATCACTGATGTTTCTCTCTCTCCCTCTCCCTCCCTCTCTGAAATCAATAAAAATAATTTTTAAAAAGAAATAAGTACCCTAACCGGTTTGGCTCGGTGGATAGAGCGTTGGCCTGCAGACTGAGGGGTCCCGGGTTCGATTCCGGTCAAGGGCATGTACCTTGGTTGCAGGCAAATCCCTAGTATGTGGTGTGCAGGAGGCAGCTGATCAATGTTTCTCTCCCATCGATGTTTCTAACTCTCTATCCCTCTCCCTTCCTCTCTGTAAAAAATCAATAAAATATATATTTTTAAAAAGAAGTAAAATAAAAAGGCAACGTGCTGGATTGCTTCTAGGTCCCAAAGAATCCCTAGCTCGTGGTCCCGCCCCAGTCATGTTCCTGTGTTCGGTTTCCTTTTTTGGCAGCCGCTTCCTGACCTCTCTCCAGTCTAGGTAGCATGGTATGAACAGAGGCCCATGCCGAGGGGAGGGCCAACTCACCTTGCTCAGTCATCTGCCGCTGCTCACAAATCCGAAGCACCTTGAGGGCTTTCTGCTCGGTGCTCAGAGGGATGCGCTCAATGTGCAGCTCCAAGGAAACTCGGCCCAGCTCAGGGCAGTAGTCAAAGTAATCCACCCCCAGCTGCCACAGGCTGCAAAGGTCCAAGGAGGACAGACATGAGGGCCTGTCTAGGTGCTGCCGTGGAGCTCTGGGATTGGCCCCCAAGATGGCTCATCTCTAGACCACGATAGCCTTCAGGGAACACAGTCCAAGTTCCAATGCACCCGCATGCTGAAGAGCACCCTGCTGTCATCCCGTGGGGCCTCCTACCTGTGATGAGAAAACAGCCCCGAGGCATATTCTAGCAGGAGGAACTCTCTCATGTTGGATCCAAAACTGGAATAAAACATATGATGAGACCAAGACTCCTGGTCTGCTCCATTCAGAGCCCCCTTCTGCAGCCCAACATTCCTTCTAGGCATTCAGCTCACCCCTCGAGAGCCTGGGAGGTGGGGGGAAAAGGGTGGGCGTGCCATGCACACTTACTAGAGGTTGTGGGACTGGAGGAGTTTGCAGTGATCCAGCAAATCGGTCAGGTGGGCCACAAACCACCAGTTGCTTAGGGCGATGCTGTAGGTTCAGACACCAAGGCAAGAAGGAAAGTCAGGGTGAGAAGCCATGGCCCACATGAGTGGGATATGAGCAGGAACCCCACATTTGCTTTGCTGAAAAAGGATGGGAGGGCCCTGTCACCGTGGCTGTGGTTGATCCTTGACCTATGAATCAGGAGGTCATAGTTCGATACCCAAT